AGATAGATGGACGGGACAGACAGACGTTTGTGTGGAAGCTGTGGTGGACGTCCCACCCTCCACACTCTTGTTTCTCCTCCCTGGCCTGTCCTGGGTGTGTGATGGCATGCATGGGCCTGTGGCCGATGTCCCCGGCACCAGCTGGACCCAAGTCAGCGTGGAGGCCAGCAGCAAGCTCTGCCCAGACTCAGCAGGGGCAGAGTTTAGGGTCAGAGAAACCCTGATTTGCTTTCCAGATGCCGGGCAGGAGCTCTGGGCTAGTTGCTGAGAATTTGTGTGTGTGTGTGTGCGTTGTTTTTTTTTTTTTTTTTTGGCAGAGTTCACACCTGACTGTGCTCAGGGCTGACTCCTGGCTCTGTGCTCAGGGCTGACTTCCACCTCTGTGCTCAGGGCTCGCTCCTGGCTCTGTGCTCAGGGCTGACTCCCGGCTCTGTGCTCAGGGCTGACTCCCGGCTCTGCTCAGGGCTCACTCCCAGCTCTGTGCTCAGGGCTCACTCCTGCCTCTGGGCTCAGTGCCCACTCCTGGTGGTGCTGCTCAGGGTGAACCCTCTGAGGTGTCATGGATCAAACCCAGGTCAACCACCTGCCAGGCTAGTGCCCTCCCTGCTTTAGTGTCTATCCAGCCCCTTACCGAGCACTCTTCACCTCATGCCTCAGTTTGCTTCCCTTCCTTCAACCAGCCTCGGGTGGGGGTGGGTCCAGTTGTCCTGCAGAGTGTGGAGTCTCCTCCCCCGAGGGAGGGTGGAGGGGAGACAAGGGTTCACCGCGAGGGAGGAAGGAGCTGGGAGGCAGTGTCCCCCAGGAGAGGAGACAGGGCAGGCGGGGGAGGGGGGTCCCTGGAGGGCCATGGGGGTCTTCCAGAAGCGCTGGCTTTTCTCTCGAGGACACCAGGTTGCTGATGTCACTGTCACTGTCCTCCTGTTGTTCTTCGATTTGCTCAAGCGGGCCTAGTAACATCTCGATTGTGAGACTTGTTGTTACTGTGTTTGGCATATCGAATACGTCACGGGGAGCTTGCCAGGCTTTGCCGTGTGGGCGAGATACTCTGATAGCTTGCCGGGCTCTCCAAAAGGGGAAGAGGAATCAAACCCAGCTCAGCCAGGCCGGCTGCATGCAAGGCAAATGCCCTACCTGCTGTGCTATCGCTCCAGCCCGGAGGTTGCTGATGGGGACTCTTCCCCCCGCCCTCGTTTGTTTTTGGGGCCACACCAGGCGATGCTCAAGGATTCCTGCTGGCCCTGCACTCAGAATTCCCTCACTCCTGGCAGTGCTCGGGGGACCCTGTGGAATGCCGGGGATCGAACCCGGGTCAGCCACTTGCAAGGCCAGCGCCCTCCCCGCTGGACTCCTGCTCCGGCCCCAGCTGATGGGGACTCTTAGGGCAGGTGGCAACGGTGCAGGACTCGAACTGAAGCGAAGGGGCCTTCGGTGCAGTCGGAGAGGGGAGTCGTGGGGAGGGGGCTGGGGGGCGATGTGGTAGAGTCGGGGAGCCTGGGGCAGCCCGGGAATTCGGGGCTCAGTTGGAGGGACAGATGCAGGGGAACGGAGGAACCCAGGTTGGGCTGGTGCGACCTTGAACGCACCGTGTGTTCCCTTGGGCTGCGGGCTTGTTGCTTAGAGCTGCTTATCCGAGCCCCGGTCTGCTAAGATCTGTGCAGTGACATTCCCTCCCCCGGCCCCCACCGTGACCCTTCGAGGGGCCTGGCAGGGGCCGGCCGGCTGCCTCCCCGTTCCTCTGCTGGGCCTTCCTCCTTATCCCCCTGCCGAGCACTTGATTCCGGAGCTGCCGGAGCCCTGCCCCGGCCTCTCCCCAGCTGTGCCTCACGGCCTGGAACAATGACATCATTGAGGGGTGCAGTCGGGCCCGGCCGTCCCCAGCAGCCCGGAGGAGCAGCGGGGGCTTCCTGACTTCTGCATCGGGGCTCATTCCCAGCCCCCCATCCCCGGGCTCCCATGGGTGCCCCCACCCCTGCCCCCCTCCCTACGCCTTCTTTTCCTCCCCCACCAAAAGGCCTGCAGAAAGCTGGCAAGCTCCATGTTCGCTCCTCTTGCATCAGTCTCCCCAGAGAAAGTTCCAGATGGGCCAAGGGGCCATAATGGCTGCATTATATCAGGCCCCAGCCCCTTTTCCAAGCCCCCCCTTCTGGGGACAGGAAGGGCAAGCAGGGCCAAGAGGGAGTCCTTGGGAGGGAGGCCTGGCGCGGGAAGACGTCAGGCCCTCGCTCTGGGAGGCCGCTGCCTCCTGGCTTCCTGACGTCCATAGGGAAGCGGGAGAGGCAAGTGGAGGACACACAGCTGTCACCAGGTCGGGCCGTGCAAGAAGCCCAGGGGACCACACAGTGCGTTCAAGGTCGCACCACAAGCTACGGCCCAGCCCAGCCTGGGTTCCTCCGTCCCCTCACACCTGTCCCTCACACATCCCAGGGGTGCACGCGTGGCAGCCTTCATAACACACTCATGTGCACATGCAGCCTCCACGACACACGTGCACACACACGGCCTTGCAGCCTCAGCATAACACACAAACACACACAAAAACACACGAACACTCAGGAAGAGTCTCCCCCATGACACTCATGGACACACACACAGTCTTGCCCATGACACTCATGCGCACGTGTACACACGCAACAGTCTCCCCCATGACACGCTTGTGCACACACATGCACACACACGCAACAGTCCCCCCACAACACATTTGTGCACGCACATGTACACATAGTCTCACCCATGACACGCTCGTGCACGCACATGCACACGCAGTCTCACTCTTGACACGTTTGTGCACATGCAGTCTCACCCATGACACACTCATGTGCACACGCAGTCTTACCACGACATACTTGTGCCCACACATGTACATGCACACGCACATTCTCCTCCATGACGCTCATGTACACGCATGCACACACATGAACACGCAGCCTCCGCCATGACACACTCTTGCACACGTGCATTCATCCCCCCAAACTCAGTGCGCCCACCCCCTCCTCCAGAGCATACCCTGCTCCCCCTCCTGGGCACCCCTCCCCCATGCCACTCCCACCACACCTGGTGATGTCTTCGATTTTCTCAGAAGCCACCCAAGTGCCCCTTGTCCCCAGACCCTTCTTGCTCAATCCCGGCAAGTGCCCGAGGGTCTCAGCCGACGGCAGGTCCTCGAGTTCTTCCTGGGTGCTCCCTGCTGCCTCGGCGGGCCCCTGGATTCCAGGAGACTAGCCCATCTGCTCAGGGCACGTTGCTGGTGTGTAGAGGCCGCCGTGAGGGGACCCAGAGAGGGTCCGGCAGAGCCCGCCCAGACATCCTCTGGTTTGCCTTCACCTCCCAGGAGCTGGGTGCAGGCTGGGAACAGAGTCTCTGGGGGCCGGGAGGAACCAGGACAGGAAGGGTGGTGGGCCCAAAGCTTGGTGGTGGGCTTGGTCCAGTGCATTCTCGGGAAGCTTCCTCCCAAACCGAGAAAGCCCGTGGGCACCACGGCCCCGGCTGGCCTGCTTGGCACCATGGTGCCCTGGCCCTGGAGAGAGTGATCAAGGGTCCTGGGGTCAGTAGCGCATGAGCCATGAAAAGTGACCCTTCTTCGTCCCTCCTTCCTTGGCCTCTCTCTGCCCTCACATACCAGCCCGCCTCTGCCCCTGTCCCGTATTTGCCTCCGGGGCCAGCCAGGCTCCTGGCACGCTGGTGGGTCAGCCTCCATCCCTTCGGAGCCAGAGGTGCAACGCGCCCCAGCTGGGCAGGGACTCTCGAGCTGGCCTGAGCCTCCTCCTCCCCTCTTCCCCCTCGTCCTCGAAAACCGGAAGGAACCTTCCGCTGCGTGGGTTATTTTGCCCCACATATGGACAAGGGCGGGCCAGCAGGCTGGGGTGACAGACGGTGGTGGCAGGGTTTCCTGAAATGGCCCGCTTGGCTTGGTGTGGCGTGGGGCCGGGGGTGGGGAGTGTTCTTTTTTTTTTTTCTGTTTGGATCACACCCTGCAATGCTCAGGGGTTACTCCTGGCTCTGCACTCAGGAATTACTCCTGGCGGTGCTCGGGGGACCCTATGGGATGCTGGGAATCCAACCCGGGTCGGCCGCGTGCAAGGCAAACGCCCTCCCCTCCGTGCTATCGCTCCAGCCCCAGGGAGGCCGCTTCTTGCCCATGTGCTGAGCCAGCACCGCACCCCACCCTCATCGCCCCCCCCCCTGCTGTCCGGGAGGAGATGAGAACAAGATGTGTCCAGGGTGGGGCCCACACAGCCTTTCTCCTTTCTCTGTGGGCGCTGGTCCCAACCCGCAGCCAGGTGGGTGGAGCTGTCTTGGCTGAGGTGGAGCCGCCGGCCTGGGGCATGGTGGGAGTACTGGACAGAAGAGTGTGGGGGGTCTTATGGGAAAGTGCAGGCCACTCTTCTCTGCCTCTAGAAGGACAAACTCTCCTGGCTGCTCCCCCACCCCAGGGATGAGGGGGTTGTTTCCAGAGTCCTGCAGTGCTTGGTGCTCTCCCTTGTGGGCTTTGTGGAACCCCGTCGTTCATCTGTGCCAGGGAGTCACACCCCTAAACCGTCACCTCCTTCCAGCTACTTCCAGTGACATTGCACATGTCCCCAAGGCCGCCAGCTAGGGGGTGGAGTGTGTGTGTGTGTGTGTGTGTGTGTGTGTGAGCCGCCAACTGGGGGATGGAGTGTGTGTGTGTGCGTGCGTGTGTGTGTGTGTGTGTATGTGTGTGAGCGGCTAGCTGGGGGATGGAGTGTGTGTGTGTGTGTGTGTGTGTGTGTGTGTGTGTGTATGCGCGCGCGCACATGGCTATGTGTGTCCCGGACATCTTGGCTAGCGATGCCTCCTACCTCCATCTCTTGCCCTCTGACTGCCGTGTCTGCACCCACGATAGCGTGAGCCCCACCCCCAAACCCCACCTTCAGCACCAGCTCCTCCCCCGACCCCCGGCCCCCATTCTCCTTCCCTTTCTCGACTCACCCCCCACCCGGGCCTCCTGTTTCTTGTGCCCAGAGGTGGTGTTTGTTTGGGGCATGTCCTCCAGGTGCGGGGTGCCCCTACCCCCGAGACAAACTTCCACCCCTTCTCTGCAGGTACCTCTTCCCCAAAGCCTACACGGAGACGCGCTACACGGCCCCCGGCCGCCCGACCCACCAAAAGCTGAAACCGGAGGTACGTGGGGTCCCACCATCCTGCGGGCCGCATCCCCGGGAAGACTGGGAGAAACCTCACTGTGGGTTGGCTTTTCCCTGAGAGCCCCTCGTGGCGGGCTAGGGAGAGGGTCCCCCCCCTGCTCAAGGCCGATGAACACCAGCACGGGCTGGGGACGGATCGTCTTCCTGGCCCTGGTCACTGAGCACCAGTAAACCGGTGAGACTGAGAACTTTTAGTGTGAAAGAAGCAAGGACCCCCTGGTGGCCCCGCCGGCACCCACTTCCCCTGTGGAGGTTCGGGGGTCCCTTTCCCAGGGGATGATGGGTCAGGGCCTGTGGCTGTCCCGTGAGGTGGCCTGGGGCGGGTGGTTGCACTCACAGCTGATGTGCTTTGTGTTCGCACTGGCTGGCCTTTGCACAAAACTTCTCTCGGGAGAGAAATCCTCATCTGCAGGACCCGCTTCCGGGGCCGGGGCAGGGAAGGGTCCCTGTCGGAATGTGCAGGCCAAGATCGAAGCCACTTCAGGCTTTTTATTGTTGTTGATTTTGGGGGGTCACACCCGGCGATGCTCAGGGCTGACTCCTGGCTCTGCACTCAGGGATCATTCCTGGTGGTGCTCGGGGGACCCTATGGGATGCCGGGGATGGAACCTGGGTCAGTTGCGTGCAGGGCCAGCGCCCTCCCCACTGTGCTATCACTCTGGCCCACATTTCTCTCCTTTATTTATTTATTTATTTTTGGCTTTTTGGGTCACACCCAGCGATGCTTAGGGGTTGCTCCTGACTCCGCACTCAGGAATCACTCCCGGTGGTGCTCAGGGGACTGTATGGGATGCCAGGAATCAAACCTGGGTTAGCTGCGTGCAAGGCAAACGCCCTCTCCACTGTGCTATCCCTCCGGCCCACGTTTCTTTTTCTTGAATCATGGGTGAGGCACCCGCCTGGCCAGGTGAAGGAGTGTTTTGTATGGGTGACTAACAGAACCCCGACTTCTCCTTGCTTCGTGCCCCCCCAGGGGTGATTCTCCCCCCCGCCCCCGCCCAGGACCCCCATGGAGCCAGCCTCCCTGGAGCCATCCCGGGCATCCCCTGCTCAAACCACCTCCTCTATCTCAACACGGAGACAAGCATGTCCCCAGGGCGACCCCTGACCTGGCACAGAGGCATGTCCCGGGCATTTGCACCCCTCCTCCTCCTCCCCTCGGTGCTCAAGAATGGGGCTCAGTCCACCAGTGTGCCATGACCTCATGCGTCCAGCTGTGTCCCCCCTCCCCCGCTCCTCGCCCCGGGGTCCCCCTCGGCCTGAGAGGCCAGGAAGGAATGCGATGACCTCAGGAGGGCCTGTCTCCAGCTTTGTGCTCTGGCTGTCTTCGGCAGAGAGGGCCGAGGGCCTGCAGGCCCCTCTGACCCCTCACGACCCCCGACTCCTCCCTCCTGGGGTTCTCGTAGGCCAGAGCTGAGGTCTCCTCACTCCACCCCCTCCCAGCCCCCCCCCGACCCTCCCCCCCCCACACACACACAGGCTTTTTCCTCTGGCAGCCGAAAGGGGCCTTGGCGGCCTTGGGGAGCAGAGTTCTGGGAACCTCGGGCTTCGGGGAGCAGCCCTCAATCAAGGGCAGGTCACCGGGGGGTGGATCGAAGTTGGGGTCCAAGAGTGACGAGATCTGGGTGTGAAGCCAGGGCCGCGGTCTCGGCTGGCCCGCGCCCCATGACCCGACACCACCCCCAGCTCACGCCCAGCCAGGCAGCCAAGGAGCCAGTGATCCCGCAGAGGCTGCGATCCGGGTGCCCAGGGGGTGTCCAGCTCAGCGGCTCCCAGCTGGGAGGAGGAGGTGGAGGAGGAGGAGAGGCAGGACCCGGGATCCAGGTGGTCAGATCTCGGCTGTCAGTCTTCTGCCCCCTAGACCCTGGGCCAGGGGAGTCTGCAATGGCCCAGCCCAGTCCCTCTCTCATGCCCCTTTGTAGCTGGGGGCAGCCACCTGTGTCCTGGCCCGGCCTTCTCCGGGACTCCTGGGCTACGAGCTGTGAGAAGACACCCCTCACTGGTCCCCAAGGTGGGACCTGGACTTGGGGCTCCTGCAGAGGGCTGGGATTGGGGAGACCCAAGCATCTCCCGTTTCCAGGCTTCCTGACAGGGTGATTCCAACGGAGCCCCGGGGAGATCCACACATGTGTGGACCAGGCACCCGGGAGGGAGTCCAGGCCCCAGGCTGACACTAGAATCCCAGCTGGAAGGAGTGTGCGCACACACACACACACACACACACACACACACACTTACACACATACACTCAGACACACACACACTCATACACACATATATACTCACACACTCATACACACACTCACACACTCACACACACTCATATATATACACACATACACACATATACACTCACACACACTCATACACACATTCACACACTCATACTCACACACCATGCACTCATACACACTCATACACACATACTCACATATACACTCACATACACACTCATATACACACACTCACACACACACACACACTCATATACACACACAGAGACAGAGCTATTCTTCAGCGCCCCTGTGAAGGGCAGGACGGGGCCAGTTCAAGGCCAGGAGGTTTGATGAGCTCCTCAAGTGCGGGCGGGCGGGGATGCCCCGGAGGTCCAGGGGGGGCAGTAAGCCTCGGGAAAGAAGGGGTCCATTGGTGTGCCGCTGGCCTCTGGCCCGCCGAGAGCACAGACAGCTGGTGCCGTGCAGCCGAGACTCGGCCCCCCGCGTTTGGCTGCCTGGGCCTTCCTGGTGACTGGTGTTGGCGGCGGGAGCTGGCGGTCCCGGGAACCTGCCCTCAGGCCCAGCAGTGTCAGGGCCCAGAAGGGGCGGGCTGAAGCGGATCGGGGAGACCCTGGTCCCTGGCAAAGCCCAGCCTGGTGCGGGCACGGGGGCCGAGGTCAGTGCTGCCGGACGTGGCGGTTGTGGCGAGGGTGGGTGGTGGGGGGCGGCCATGGGTTGTGGGGGAGTCGGGCTCTGGTTCCAGGGGCCGCCATGGCCAAGGAGGATGGCAGGACTGTCCCAGAAGCCCCACCAGGCAAGCCCCCTCCCTGTTCTAGGCTGGTGGGAGCCCCTGGCAGGCCCTGCTGGGGGGTCCCTCACTTAACCTCCGACCTCCACCCCCACCTGCCCCTGAGCTGTGCTCTGTGCGTCTGTCTGCCCCTTCCAGCGGGCCCCCAGCACGGTCACATCTGCAGAGACCTTGTTCCAAATAAGGCCACACTGTCATTCCTGGGGGGACACGTGAAGTGTGTGTGTGTGTGTGTGTGTGTGTGTGTGCGTGTGCATGTGCATGCATGTGTGTGTATGCATGCACGTGTGTATATGTGTGTGTGCATGCACAAATATATGTGACCGTGTGCATGTGTACACATACATGTACTATGTTCATGTGTGTTTGTACTCACACATGGGCATGTGTGCGCACGTGTGTGTGCACGCACATGTGTATGTGTGTGCACATGAGTGTATGCATGCATGTGCATATGTGTGCGTGTGTGCATGTGTGTGCGTGCATGTATGTATATGTGTGTACGCACACATGTGCATATATGTACATTCTGATGTGTGCATGCATGTGTGTATATGTGTGTGTGTGCGTGTGTGTGTGCACGTGTATGTGTATGCGAAGGGAGAAGGGGTCACAGAGGTGACTGGGGTGCAGGCAGACTCCGGGTCCATGAACAATGCATGAGGCCGGCCCCAGCCTCTGGTTGTCACTCTGGGCCTCTCACGCCAGCAGAGTGGTGGGTGGCACCGGACCTTCATGGGCCGGCATCGCAGCCCTTCACCTCTCCAGAACAAATGCCCGCTCTCTCCCCGCAGGACCACTGCTTCTATCATGGCACTGTAAGGAACATGGCTGTGTCCAGCGTGGCTCTCAGCACCTGCCAGGGGATAAGGTAAGAGGCGCGGTGGGTGGGCAGGCAGGGCTGGAGGGTGGGGATGAGGCCTGGTACCACATGTGCATGCGCACATGCACACACACACACACACACACACACACACACACATGCCCTGGAATACACCTGCAGGCAGGCAGGGATGAGGTGTGGGGATGAGACCTGGTACCACACACACAAACACACACACACACACACCCGCCCTGTGATGCACCGGCGGGCAGCCAAGGATGAGGTTTGGGGACGAGACTTCGTACCGCACACACACACACACACACACACACACACACACACACACCTGCCCCGGGATGTACCCGTGGGCAGGCAGGGATGAGGTTTGGGGACGAGACTTGGTACCACACACACACACACACACACACACACACACACACACCCGCTCTGGGATACACCGGCAGGCATTCAGGGATGAGGTTTGGGGACGAGACTTGGTACCGCGCGCGCACACACACACACACACACACACACACACACACACACACACACCTGCCCCGGGATGCACCGGCGGGTAGGCAGGGATGAGGTTTGGGGACGAGACTTGGTACCGCACATACACACACACACACACACACACACACACACACACACCCCTCCCTGCCCCGGGACGCACCAGCCCTGCCGCTGCAGGGGCTGTGTCTGCCCTTCCCGGGCCAGTGACCCCAGCTGAGCGAGAGAACGGCAGCTCTGGGAGAGCGATTGTTTAGATCTGCCCCACTGAGGCCAGGGCAGGCAGGGAAGATCCTCCCCCCCTTTTGGGGGCTGTGAGGCCCACCCGGCTCTCCGAGGGCCGTTCCTCGCTGCCCGCTTCCTCCCTGGATGGGCCGATGGCGCCTTCCCCAGTCCCCTCAGCCGTGGGGAGCCAGCGCTGCAGCTGCTCGCTCTCCCCCACCCTCCTGGCGGGCTCCGGACCGGATCCGCACATCTGTTTCTCAGCGGTGGGGCGTGGTGTCAGCTGGGTCAGACCGACTTGGGCAGGAAACGAGCTGTGGCCGGGAGGCCATGTCACGGGCCCCCGGGACCCCCGTCTCCAGTGGCCTTGCTCTGAAGCCAGCTGGCCCACGGGCCGTGTGGCCAGGCCAGGCCTCAGGCCCCCATGGTTCTCTGAGTCAACAGCGCCTGGCCCCAGGAGCCGGAGGGAGCAGGCAGATGCAGCCCCAGCAAAGCGAGGGGAACCTGCCGCCCCCTCCGTCCCTTATTTCCTTCTGTTGTCGTCGTCCTTGGGTCCCCACAGCTGAGCAGGGTGGCTGAGCCCAGTTTGCCAGCCTGAACCACCCCCCCCCCACACACACACACATACACACACATGCACTACACCCTTCTAGCCCTTCTGCACTGTCAGAAATTCAGGTATGGGGCTGGAGCAATAAGACGGTGGGTAGGGCGTTTGCCTTGCACGCAGCCGACCCGGGTTCGATTCCCAGCATCCCATAGGGTCCCCTGAGCACCGCCAGGGGTAATTCCTGGGTGCAGAGCCAGGAGGAATCCCTGTGCTTCGCCGGGTGTAACCCAAAAAGCAAAAAAATAAAAGAAAAAAAATTGGGGGTAAGGCCAGCAGGCCTGGGGTTCCCTTCCCACCCTCCAAAAAGAGCAGCTACAGAGGTGAGGCAGCTCCCGTCCCTCTAGGACCCCCACCCCACCCCCACCAACCCCCAGACTCACACTTCCGAGGCTGCAAACGGAGCCTCTCCCCGAATGCGCCCTGCACGCGTGTATCCAAGCGCGGGTGGGTCCAGGCTCCGGCAGACCCAGCGGGTTTCCCCGGCGGAGTCCCGGGTCCTCTCTCCTTTCCCAGCCTGTTCTTTTCCCTGCAGTAGCTAAGGCTGGTGTCCAAGATGGGGGTGAATTAAAATAGGCCAGAGGAGAGGGCTGGAGGCTAGTCCAGCAGGAAGGGCGTTTGCCTTGGTCAGGTGTTGGCCCACCTGGGTTCGATCCCTGGCATCCCATAGGGTCAGGGGCACTGCCAGGAGTAATTCCTCAGTGCAGAGCCAGGAATAACTCCTGAGCATCGCTGGGTGTGGCCCTCAAAGCCAAAAAAATAAATAGAAAGCAAAATAAAAACAAATAGCACAGCGGGGAGGGCGTTTGCCTTGCACGCAGCCAACATGGCCGACCCAGGTTCGATCCCCAGCATCCCCTCAGGTCCCCCGAGCACCGCCAGGAGTAATTCCTTAGTGCAGAGCCAGGAGGAACCCCTGAGCATTTCTGGGTGTGGCCCCCAAAGCAAAAAATAAATAGAAAACAAATTAGCCGGAGGAGGCAGGCCCTTTTCAGCCTGGATTTCCAGGGTTCCCCCCCTCCACTCTTCTCCAGGGGTCACACCTTCCCCCACCTCATCCGGTCCTATGTTTGCATTTTAGAAATGGTAATCTTGGGGATGAAGAGATAGTGTGGCAGGGAGGACGTTTGCCTTGCACACAGCAGACCCGGGTTCGATCCCCGGCATCCCTTAGGGTCCCCCAAGCCCACCAGAAGGGATTCCTGAGCGCAGGGCCAGGAGTCAGCCCTGAGCACAGCTGGGTGTGGCCCCAAAACAAAGCCAAAGAAAAGAAAAAGAAAGGAAGGAATAAAGAAATGGCCCCTGGGGGGCTGGAGCAATAGCACAGTGGATAGGGCGTTTGCCTTGCATGGTTCGATTCCCAGCATCCCATAAGGTCCCCCGAGCACCGCCAGGAGTAATTCCTGAGTACAGAACCAGGGATAACCCCTGTGCATCACCAGGTGTGACCCAAAAAGAAAAAAAAGAAATGGCCCCTGCGGTGAGGGGCAGAGGAAGATGATGGGCTCTCTGTCCTCATGGGGCCTCTGGTGCTCAGGGTGGTGGCCGTGGCCGCTGACTCTCCCCTGAAAATGGCATGCCACACACTGGCCCTATAGACCTGAGGGTGCGTGCGCCCCCCTCACCACCACTCCCAATCCCAGCCTGCCCCGGACCGTGGACTCACCCACGCGCTGAATGTCCACATGGCCGCTCTAGCTCTGTCCTCTCGTCCTGCCCGTGGCCTGGCCCACCCAGTCCCTCTCGAAGGCTCTCAGCCATCGAGGGTGGACAGTGGCTGGGCCTGCCTCCGCCCCGCCTTCCCGCCCGCACTGGGCAGGGCCAGCCCTGGCACTGGAGTGAGTGTGATGGACAGAGAGGAACGTCCACAGAGGGGGATCCCCCTTTGGGATGTGGGGCGATGGAGCCAGGAATGAGTGACTGCTGAGTCTCCCGGCTGACCACTCCCCCCACCCCCACCCCAAGGCAGGACTTCGTGCAAACCTGGCCCCGGGGGACCCTGAGCAGTCATCTGGACCCTGGAGACTACTAGTTCTCGGGCTCAGGCAACAGAACCAGGCCTTCTGCCTTTTGTACCAGCTTCCAGGACATTCTCAGAGATGATGGCAGAAGGTCCTCCTCCACGTGGCCCCCGCACCATGGAGAGAAATGGATGGGGACATAGGGTCTGCACCCTGGACATGGAAGTCTTTGCTCTTTCTTGGGGAGGGGGCGGGGAATCACACCCAGTGATGCACAGGGGCTACTCCTGGCTCATGCATTCAGAAATTACTCCTGGCGGTGCTTGGGGGACCCTATGTGATGCTGGGAATCGAACCCGGGTCGGCCACGTGCAAGGAAAACACCCTACCTATCGCTGCTATCGCTCCGGCCCCAGGAGTCTTTGCTCTTGAAACCCTCCAAGGCTCGGTGCCCTTTTCTGTAAGAGGGGACCGGGGGGTACCAGGGACGTGGGCCAGGGGGATGCCCTTGACTGTGTCCTGACACTGAGACAGGTCCCTGGCAATGCATCTGCCAGATTTGCTCTCCAGAGACACAGGAGGACGCAGAAGGCTCTACCCAGCATCCGAACCCGGGGCATCCCATGACAGTGTGTCGTCGCCCCCTGGCCCCTCACCCCAACCCCCCAAGCCGCACCTCTGAATGGTCCCTCTCCTGCTTCTCCCTGCAGGGGCCTGATCACCCTGGGCGGGAACCTCAGCTACGTCCTGGAGCCCATCCGGGGCCTGGGAGCACAGCACCGCCTTTACAGACTGGAACACCTCCCGCTGCCCATCGGCGTCTGTGGGCTCCCAGGCTTCCCAGGCTTCCCGCCACCCGGCGACTCGCACCACCCAGACCCACTGCCCGCCGTCAACCACACCCGGCAGCGCCGACCTCGACCTCGCAGGGTGAGTCTGGCCAGGGAGGCCACGGGTGGCCACGGCCGCCCGCCTCCGCTCTGGCGTGAACACCAGGATGCTCGCTGGCTTAGACGGGGCGACGGCCTTAACCTTAGACGCCAACTTTGCACCATTGGGTGGGAGGGAACCCCTTTCCCCCCACCCCCCAAGGGACAATTTCTCCCTCCCCCCGCTCCATCCTTGGGTCAAACGCCAGATCTGGAGGAGACACGTTTAGTGCCACGTGCTTCCACCCTTGAAACAGGCCCCAACCCCCAGCTCAGGGGGGTGGGTGGGGATCCCCAATGCTCTGGGCATCAGCTTACCCCCACACACCCTGGGTCCTGCTGGAGGATGGAGGACCAACTTCCATCCCCTAGGAGGGGGCAGATTTGGGGGGCTCGCTTCCTTCCTCCCCCAGGGCTCCCCACCGTACCCCATTCCTCACTCACCCCATCTCGCCCGCAGATGAAAAGGGACGAGTTGCACACCACGAAGTTCGTTGAGCTGTACCTGGTGGCCGACTACGCAGAGGTAAGGGTGCCCTGGGCTCTCCACGGCCACCCCTCACTTCAGGGGAATAGGTGGTGGGGAGGGAGGGGGGAGTTTGTGGCTGTCTAGCTGCCGAGGGGACAGGCCACAGCTTTTTCCTCTTTCCACTTGTCCCATGCCCTGGACTTAAGTTCTCTCCGATGCTTCAGAGTTAAGAGGGGGAAAAAAAATTCAAAAAAAATAATTTTTTTAAGGGTCCGGAGTGATAGCACAGCGGGTAGCATGTTTGCCTTGCACGTGGCTGACCTGGGTTTGATCCCTGGCATCCTATATGGTCCCCTAAGTACCACCAGGAGTAATTCCCAAGTGCAGAGCAAGGAGTAACCCCTGAGCATCACTGGGTGTGACCCAAAAACAGCAAAAAAAAAAAAATTTTTTTGAAGGGGACACACCCAGCAGAGTTTAGGGCTTACTGCTCTCGGGGAGGTGGGGTCGCTCCTGACGGTGTTCAGGGCACCCACTTGGGGTGCCAGGGATTGAACCCGTGTGGGCCATGTGCAAGGCAAGCGCCCTCCCCGTTGTGCTGTCTGCCACTCCAGCTCCTCACCCCCTTGAATCGTTGCCTTGTGGGGGACCCTCCTATGGTCCTGTTGATCTGAAACTGAGGATACAAAGTTGGGGGTGGGGGGAAGTCCCTCAGGGGGACGGATCCAGGGTCACCCCCAGACCTAGAGAGCCCCGGAAGCCGTGGGACTGGGGTCCATGCCGACCCCATCCCGAGCTTCTGCCACAGGCAGGTCTGTGAACTTGGCCTTGAAGCCCCCCTTTCTCCGGTTTGGGCCCTGGACGAGCCCCCACACATGCTCATCTCTCTGGGGCATGCTCCAGGCTGTGAGCAATCCAGACCCGCCCGCCTCCGAACACCCAGAAGGTTCCAGGGGCTGCAGCTCAGCTGGGCCTTTGTTCCAGGGGGGGTTGGACCAGGCTGGTGGGTGGGTGTCCCGGAAGTGAGGGGTTGGAGGGGGGGTCTGACACCTGCAAATTAGCTCCAGGCCCCTGGCTCTGCCCTGGCCTAAACCAGCAGGTCCCAGCCCAGCCCCCGGCCGGACCAGCCCCCCACAGCAGGCCTCAGCCTGAGCAGCTCAGCCTCGTCCGGTGCTAGGGGTGAGGGGGAGAGGGCGGGTCCCCGGGGCCCCCCACGAGAGCTCTGAGCCGGGGCAGCGGGAAGAGAGTGGCCCTTGAGCCCTCCTCGAGGCGCCCGGGGGTGGAGGTGAAGGGCCAGCCAGGGCGGGAGGGGACGCGGGGTTCCTTGTCGCAGAAGAGGTTTGTTTGTCGCTAAGGGCTCGGCGGGCCGCGCCCCCACCCTCGTGTTCCGTTTTACTTTGCGGATACTGCAAGGGGGAGCGAGGCGGGCAGCGTACCCCCAGGTCTCTCTCTGCCACATGGCCCAGTGTGTCCCTGCCCGTCACCCCACCCTAACCCCGCCCCACGCCTGGGCACGGCGCCCGCCCGAGTACCCCCGCCTCCACCCCGTGGAGGGGGGGAGCGGGGCTCGCCTGGCGCTGTCTCTGCCCAGCACCTGCACTCGCCTGACCCCCAGGAGGACAGGCGTCGCCCTAGAGTGCCATTCCTGGGACTCATTTCTGGGACGAGGGGAGGCCGCTCGCTCCCCGCATTCCGCACTGGGACCAGAGGGGTGATTCACGCAGACGGGCGGGGTGGGGGCGTACTCACACACGCACTGGGGGTACTTGCACCGGGACATACGGATGCCGAGGGGTAGAGGCCCCAGGGTACAGGCATGGGGGGGGTGCAGACACAGAACGGCTCCTCGAACCCGGGCAGGCAGCCAGAGGCTGTGGATGACTCTGGGGGTGCAGAGGAAACGCGGGTCCCGGCTCCTAGCCCAGCCCCAGCACGGCGCAGCCTGACATACAGTGGGTCCTTCCTGCAGGGCAGTCGGGTGGCTGATTTACAGCCAGGCCCCGGCAGTGGCTGTGGCGAGAGCATCGAAGTCACGTGCCCCGCCGGCCGCGTGCCTGGGGGGAGGGGCGGGGGGGGGGTCTCTGCTGTCCAGCTGGGACCTTGCAGGGGAGACAGAACTACGTGCTGGGCGGCTTGCACGGGCCTCCCGGGGGCCCAGACAGCCAGGGCAGAGGGCAGAGGGTGGGGGGAGGGGGGCTGCACAGCCTCCCACCCTGGTGGTCTAGAAGCCTGAGGGTGGGGGAGGGGAGGGGAGACCTCCACCAACGTGGCCGGCCTCCGTGCGGGAGGTTTCCCTGCCCACTGCGCCGCCCTGCCCCGCACACACGGCCCCAGATTGACGACTACCCCACTGGTCCTTCCCGGAAACTCCAGTTCCTCTCACCCATGTTCCAGACGAGAGAGGGACTCGCACCCCAACAGGCAGGCGGGATCTCGGGGCGCTGGGGCGAGGAGTGGGAATGGGGTGTGAAGAGCATCAGGAAGACGGGGGGGGCCACCAAGGGCTGCGACGCTTCTGGGCCTGGACACCCTCTTAGAGGACACGTCCGACAGTGATGGGCACTCGGAGAGCATGTCTGAGAGTGGCGCTAGCTTCGGCTGCTCCCTCGTCCCCCACTCTGAAGTCCACCGCTGGGCTAGACCCAATGTGCCCAGGAGCCGTGCCCAGAACATCACATTTGGTCCTTTATCTACTTCCACAGGGCGTGGGGGAGGCCTCGTGAGGGGCTGTGACTTGGGCTGGCGTTGGGCAAGTTCACCAGGAGCGTTGCCCCCACGTTCCCCACCCCTAGGGAGTTAGCGGAGGCTCCCCCGGGACTCAGAGGATGGGTTGGTGGGAGGTGGCGGAATTCCCTGTCCCATTGCATGTGACCCTGCCCAGCGCCGAGCTAGTAGCATTTGCGGGGAAGACCGGGATGGAAGGACCCCAACTCTGTGCCTGCCCGCACCCCAGCCAACCCTGTGCCAACCAGGGGACGAGGGCGCATGTTGGAGGGAACTCTGTGCCAATGACCGTGCATCGGAGCCCCGAGAGAAAAGAACTGGGGTGGCGGGTGGGGCCGACACAGCTAGGGGGGAGCCTCACCTGCCTGTCCCACCCCCTGCAGTTTCAGAAGAACCGGCGCGACCCAGAAGCCACGAAGCACAAACTCATGGAGATCGCCAATTACGTGGATAAGGTGAGACCAGGGCCAGGCCGGCAAGGGCTGTGGGGATGTGGAAGGGGTGGTGGGTTGGGCGGGGCACCGAGCCCCCTCCAAGCAGCCTGCCCACCACGGCCTCTCCCTGGAGGTGACCTGGTGTCTTGGTTTGGTTTATTTTTGTGGCTGTTGAGCAATAGCACAGCGGGCAGGGCGTTTGCCTCGTGCGCGACCAACCCGGGTTCGATTCCTCCGCCCCGCACAGCACAGCCTGGCAATTTCCCTGTGGCGTATTGGATATGCCAGAAATGGTAACAACAAGTCTCACGATGGAGCCTACTGGTGTTTGCTGAAGCAAATAGATGAACGACGGGAGGACAGTGCTACAGTGTTACAGTTGTTTTTGTTTTCATTGAATCACTATGAGATACTGTCACAAAGCTTTCGTGTTTGAGTTTCAGTCATACTGTGATCGAACACCCATCCCTCCACCAGTGCTCATTCTCCACCACCAATGTCCTCAGTATCCCCTGCCCCCCTTTCAGTCCTCCCCCTGTCTCCATGGCAGACAATTTCCCCATCCTCCCTCTCTACTTTGAGGCATTATGATTTGCAATACAGATACTGAGAGGCCATCACATTCGGTCCTTTATCTACTTTCAGCACGCATCTCCCATCCTAAACGATCCCTCCAACCCTCATTGGCTTAGTGATCCCTTCTCCATCCCAGCTGCCTTCTCCCCCAGCTCGTTGTTGTTGTTATTTTTGGTTTAGTTTTTGTCTGGGGTCACACCCGGCGATGCTCAGCACTTATACTCCAGGCTCTGCGTTCAGGGATCACTGCTGGCGGGGCTTGGCGGGGGACGGGAGGACCCTATGGGACAAACCCCGGTCAGCTGCGTCCAAGGCAAGCGCCCTGCCCGCTGTCCGTTCGCAAGCTCACAGTGGCTGGCCTGAGCCAGCAGCTTCCCTTCATGCGGGTTATTTTTTTTTTTCTTTTTGGGTCACACCTAGCGACGCTCAGGGGTTACTCCTGGCTCTGCACTCAGGAATTACTCCAGGCGGTGCTTGGGGGAACCATATGGGATGCTGGGAATCGAACCCGGGTTGGCCGTGTACAAGGCAAACGCCCTCCCCGCTGTGCTATTGCTCCATGCGGGTTTTTCTGGTGGAGTTCCTCGCGTGTGGGCTGTGTCCAGCCCCAGGAGCCCAGAGTCCCTTTCTGGTATGACACCTGGTCCCGTCTCATGGAGACAGGAAGTGAGTCCTGGCTTGGAACGGAACCAGCCTCTCAAGCAGACTGTTGCTCAGGCCCCCGAAGTAGAAGTTCTGGACTGTGTCAGTGCTGCTTAGGGAGGCCACACAGAGGGGGCTCGGAGAAGACCCCCAAAATGTTTGCCCTTCCCTGGAACTGACCGGGGCTGCCCAGGTTCTCGAGGGGAGAGTATTGGCGAGTAAGGAAGCGGAACAGACATGCCACCTTTTCTGTTCTTTTTCTTCTTTTTTTCCTTTCTTCTTGGTTGGCTTGGGCACATTTGGAGGATGGCAGGTAATTTTGGGGGAGGGGGAGTTCACAGGACCCCCCACGCCGAGCTCTGGGCCTGCAGGAGCCCGTGGAGGTGGGGAACTGTCCTGGTGGGGAAAACTCGTTTTTCATCTCTTTAGGAGAATAAAGAGGAGAGAACACAGACTTTTTTCTTTTTTTTTTTTTCTTTTTGGGTCACATCCGGCGATGCTCAGGGATTACTCCTGGCTCTCCACTCAGGAATTACTCCTGGCGGTGCTCGGGGGACCCTATGAGATGCCGGGAATCGAACCCGGATCGGCCGTGTGCAAGGCAAACGCCCTCCCCGCTGTGCTATTGCTCCGGCCCCGAACTCAGACTTTGAGAGGCATGCAAGCAAAGTGCTCCTTGCCCCCTCTGCCCCCCGTGGCCATCTGTCTGCCTGGATGGTTCCAGCCAGGCCACCAAAGAACAGACAGCAGCGGGGGGGAAAAGCAGACACTGGCGTTTCCGGGAGTGACAAGGTCTGGGGGCCACGTCCCACCAGTCACTCAGCAGCCACGGCCGCCTCTCGGCATCTGGGAAAACAAGGAAAGTTTATTTCCCGGGGTGGGGCAGGGACCAGGAGGTCCCCCCCCCCCCGCCCCGTTCCCGCTCCCACGGGGACCCCATTGTTCTACAGACCCCACAGGTGGGAAGCTTGGCCGCGTTCCCCCCTCCCCCATTGTGACTGCCTGCAGCTGCTTGGGGGGGGTGTCAGTGAGCGAGTCCCCAGGACGAGAGGCCTCAGTGGCCTCATCATCTCCCCTCGCAACCCCACTGACCAGTTGGGGGTCCTCCCAAAAGCTGCTCAGCCCTTCCCTGGCCCGGAGAGCCAGCAGCTTGGCTGTTGGTGTCAGGCGCAGCTAAAACACAGGCACGCGGCCCCAGAGCGCTGAATCAGCGTGTCCGGCCTGAGACCATTTTTTCCCCCCTCTTCCGCCTGGAGCAGCCAAGTTCCAGTCCCCTGAGAAGCGCGTCTGGCAGGGCCCATTCAAGTTAAGAGCCAGACTCTGTGTTTTCTTAAACGATTGGCCGGACACGAAATGGGAGAAGAAAAATTTCCGCTGAATCTGGAGCCCGCCACGCACCTCCCCCGCTACAGTGTCTGGGAGGAATGAGGGGGGGTCCTTCCACCATCTGGGCATGGAAGGCCTCCAGCACTGAGGGGGTCCAACCGTCTGGGCTCAATCCGGGCTCTCACTGACCCTCCCGCAGAAACCCCTCCCCCCCCCATGCGTGCCCAGGAAGGGCCCTGTCCCATCCATCTGCTTGCAGACACTCACTGCTCACAGGCCGGCTGGGAATGTGGACACACGTCTCCCATGCTCGAGACCCAGATGGACAGGGAGGGTCTTTTCTTGGCCCCTTTAACGGCCTCGCCACTCCCAGTGCCTCTGGCCTGCTGACCGTGCTTAGCCCACAAGGACCTTTTTCTCCCGCGTTGCGTGTTTATAAAGAGGGAGTGGGAAGGATCGTGACCTCCTGCTCGCTTTGGGGGAGTTTTTGTTGTTGTTGTTTAATTTTTAATTTTTATTTATTTATTTGGAGTCAGAGTGATAGCATAGCGAGTAGGGCGTTTGCCTTACACGCAGCCGACCCAGGTTTGATTCCTCCGCCCTTCTCGGAAAGCTACCGAGAGTACTCCACCCACATGACAAAGCCTGGCAAGCTACCCGTGACATACTCTATATGCCAAGAACAGTAACAAGTCTCCCAATGGAGATATGACTGGTGCCCGCTCAAGCAAATCGATGAACAACGGGAGGACAGTGCTACAGTGCTATTTATTTCTTTTTTTGCGGGGGGGGGGGGGTCACACCCAACGATGCCCAGGGGTTACTCCTGGCTCTGCACTCAGGAATTACCCCTGGCGGTTCTCAGGGGACCCTATGGGATGCTGGGAATTGAATCCGGGTCGGCCGCATGCAAGGCAAACGCCCTACCACTCCAGCCCCTAGTTTTTATTTATTTTTATTTTTATTTTTTTAATGCATCACCATGAGGTACAGTTACAGACTTACAAACTTTCGTGCTTGCGTTTCAGTCATACAGTGATCGAGTACCCATCCCTCCACCAGTGCCCATCCTCTACCACCAAAGGGATCCCACCACCTCCACCCCATTCCCGCCCATCCCCCCCACCGCCTCTGTGGCAGGTGGATTCTTTGGGAGAGTTTTAGAAGTCTGGGCAGATCAGCAGGACCCCTGGCTTGAACAGAGGCCTGAGGGCTACAGGGACACTCTCACAGGTGGTAAGACCCGAGCATCCCTGGGTGAGGAAGGGTGCCGCCATCCACTGGGTCCCACCTGTTTAACTTCCAGCAGAACTGGGACAAGGACGGGGATGGGGGGGCAAATCCCCGAGTGGCCCCAGAGTCAAAGCACACAGCTCCCACCACCACCACGTAAAGGAGGTAACCAACAACAGAATCCAGGAATCCCCCAGAGCTGCCAAATGAAAGAAGCCAGATTCAAGTCAGATAGATGATTCCATTCCATTTTTAAGGAAAAGGTCAAGGGCCGGAACAATAGTTTAACGGGTAGGGCGTTTGCCTTGCATAGGCCGGACCAACCTGGGTTCGGTTCCTGGCATCCCATAGGGTCCCCCGAGCACCGCCGGAAGTGATTCCTGAATGCAGAGCCAGGAGTCAGCCCTGAGCATCGCTGGATGTGACCGAAAAAGCCCCTCCCCCCCCCAAAAAAAGTAAAAGGCCAGAAGTAGCAACCAGTCAGAAAGTGGCTCAGGGAGGCCTGGGACTTGGATGTGACTGTGGAACGTGGCCCCACGTGGCCGTGGCCGTAGCCGGCATCTTCCTGCCCTGACAGGTCTTTCAAAGATCCAATTAAGGTTTACAACTTAAAACCGGTTTTTAGAAATTCATGTACAAGAACTATTATTATTATTATTATTATTTGTCTTTTGGGGAGTGTTTGGGGGGGCGAGGGACCACATCCAGTGACGCTCAGGATTTTACTCCTGGCTCCAAGCTAAGGAATCGCTCCCAGTGGGGCTCAGGGGACCCTATGGGGGTGCCCAGAATCGAACCCAGGTCAGCCGCGTGCAAGACCAAGCGCCCTCCCCGCTGTCCCATAGCTACAGCCGACTCGGGCTCCTTTTTTAAGTTGGGGACTTTGGAATCTTAGCAGCGAAGGCCAAGTCTGCGCAGACGTGTCATCACAGATGACGCAGATGGGGCGATCACAGACGTACTGCAAGCCTCAAGCCCGGAGTGGGCCACGACCACGTGTGCGTGTATCCGTGCGTGCGTGCGTCCGTGCATCCTTGCGTGCGTGTGTGCGTCTGTGCATCCTTGCGTGCGTGCGTGAGTGCGTCTGTGTGTGTGTGCATCCGTGCACCTTTGCATGCCTCAGTGCATCCTTGCGTGCGTCCGTGCGTGCGCGCGCACGGGGTTTGCGGCGTCTGGATGACCTGTGCCGCCACGTGTCTTTCCAGTTCTACCGATCCCTCAACATCCGCATCGCCCTGGTGGGCCTGGAGGTGTGGACACACGGCGACCAGTGTGAGGTGTCCCCCAACCCCTACTCCACCCTCTGGTCCTTCCTCAGCTGGCGCCGCAAGCTGCTGACCCGGAAGAGCCATGACAACGCGCAGCTGATCACGTGAGGAGCTTTCCCATAGCTGCCGGGGTGGGGGTGGGGGGTCGGGGCTGCGGGCCTGAGTGTCTCGGACACGACCCTCAAACACAAGTCGCTTCACAGTCTCGAGGGACCCTCAAGATGCCCCTCCACCCCCCCCCACCCCCCACCCTGGCCACCACCACCACCACCACTAACTTCTCCAGAGCCTGGGGCTGATCTCGGTATCTCCTGTAGCGCACAAGCTCGTTATTCTGAGCAGGCTCGAAGAGGGGTCCCGGGGTGACTTTCTCCTGGCTTCTAGGTGCAGGGGGCTGACAGCTTGATGGTAGGGGGGGTGTCCAGGAAGCAGGTGGGACCCAGTGGGAGGGCCCCAAGAAGAAGGAGCCAGGTGGGCCCGGCTGGTTTTCATCACTGACACATGGCTAAGATGCCCAAAGGCCTTTTCAGGCGCCTCACCCCCCCTTATTTTAATTTTTGTTTTATTTTAATGAATGGGGCTGGAGCGATAGCACAGCAAGTAGGGGCGTTTGCCTTGTATGCAGCCAACCCAGGTTCAATTCCTCTGACCCTCTTGGAGAGCCCGGCAAGCTACCCTCACAGCAAAGCCTGGCAAGCTACCTGTGATTTATTCTATATGCCAAAAACAGTAACAAAAAGTTTCACAATTTGTTGTGAGATGTTACTGGTGCCCCCTCTAGCAAATGGATGAACAATGGGAGGACAGTGCTACAGTGCTACATTATAATGAATCTCAGTGAGATACAATGACAGACTTACAAACTTTCATGATTACTTTTCCATCATACAATGATCTCCAGTACCCATCCCTCCACCCGTGCCCATTCTCCATTACCAATGTTCCCAGTATCCCTCCCGCCACCCCCACTTCTTCCCCGCCCCCCTGCCTCTGTGGCAGGCACATTCCCTCTTACTGTCTCTCTCCTTCTGGGTGTTAAGATTTGCAATATAGGCATTAAGCAGCCATCCAGTTTGGTCCATTGTCTACTTTCAGCCTGCATCTCCCATCCCGAGCGAGCCCTGCAACCGTCATTGACTTAGTGGTCCCTTCTCTATCCCAGCTGTTAGGCGCCCTCTTTCACCTGGGTCTTTGCCTCTCCAAATCCATCTCCCAACAGGCCTTTTCTCCTGCTCAAGGAGACAGCGGCTATTCCGTGGCCTGTGCTTATAAAGCGAGACTTTGTTTATTTGTTTGATTTTTTTTTGTTTGGTTGGTTGATTGGTTTGGGGCCATGCCCGCCGAGGCTCAGGGGTCACCCCCTCCCCCCAGCTCTGCACTCAGGAATCACTCCTGGCAAGGCTGGGGAGGGGACCCCTGGGGTGTCGGGAATCGCACCCAGGTTGGCTGCGTGTAAGGCCAGCACCATCCCCGCTGTGCTATCGCTTCACCAAGGTATGACTTAGCACAAGGGAAGCAAGTGTCTTTTTTTGGGGGGGCGGGGGATCATACCTGGTGATGCACAGTGGTTACTCCTGGCTCATGCACTGAGGAATTATCCTGGAGTTGCTTGGGGGACCCTATGGGATGCTGGGAATCAAACCCGGGTCGGCCACTTGCAAGGCAAACGTCCTCCCTGCTGTGCTATCCCTCCAGTCCCAGAAGCAAGTGTCTTGCCTGGCTCTGTCCCCATGGACCTTCCTCTGCACCCGGCCAGGCCCACCGCTGCCATGGGTGGACAACTGTTTGTCCCTACGGAGCGTGCGTGTCCCTCCACGGACACTGGCCGGGAGAACGCAGTCCGCTACGTTCCAGCAGCAGCTGGTGCAGAGACCCATCACTGGGTGGTCATGGTCATGCAGGACCTGATGACTGGCTGCCGGTGGGCTTCCTCTGGACCTAACCCCAGGGAAAGACCCCCCCAGGGGCTGCTGACCTGACCAGGGTCCCAATAGCTCTAGCTCGGGGACCTGAGTGATAGGGCAGCAGGGAGGGCTCTGGCCTTGCACGCCGGCCAGCCTGGGTTCCATCCCTAGCATCCCATAAGCTCCCCTGAGTGCAGAGCCGGGAATAACTCCTGAGTGTTGCCAGGGTATGCTCCAACACCTCCGCCCCCCCAATAAAAAACAATCGCGCAAGCTCAGAAGTCGCTTTCTGGGCCCCCAGCTGCCCGGCTGCATGGACGGGCTCAAGAGCCACATCTGTTTCCTGGGGCCCCCAGGGAGGTAGGAACAAAACATCAGCTTCATCCCTGCCCCCCCCCAACCCCCAGCTGCCCAGTGCCCGCCCGCTCTGGCCACTGACTTGGGAAGTGGCATGCAACCCAGCAGCAGCTGGCGGAAGCGGGTGTGAATCACTCAGGGGTCGGGACCCGTGCCAGCCTGCTCTCTTCCCGCCCGTTTCCTGTGCAGGGGAGCGGCGCAAATCACTGCCCGCCAGGGCCTGGGTGGGGGGAAGAGAGGGAGAGAGAGAGATGGAAAGAGGAGAGGAGAGAGAGAGGAGAGGAAAGAGAAGAGAGGAGAGAGAAAGGGGAGAGAGCGAGAGCGAGAGCGCGCCTTTTCCCAGAGCCGTGGCGGGGGGGCGGGGGTAGTCCCACGTGAGGAGTGACGCCCAAGAGTGCCGGGGTTGGGGGGACACTGTGGCACTGGGGGGGTGCCATCTGCCTCTGGGCACATCGGTCACCTCCACCTTTCCTGTCCCCAGGGGCGTGCCCTTCCAAGGTACGACCATCGGCCTGGCCCCGCTCATGGCCATGTGCTCCGTGTACCAGTCGGGGGGCGTCAGCATGGTGAGTCTCGGCCCTGCAGGCGGGGACGGGGGGTGTCACACATCCCCGCAGACTTAACCATCAGCTTTGAGGGGGAGCGGCATTCCCAGAGAAGCCGTTTGGGAGCCCGGGGCGAGTTTTTGAGTTTTTGGTTTGTTTTGTGTTTTGTGTTTTTTTTTTTTTTTGGAACTCCGCAGGGATCACGTGGGTCCCACCCCCAAACCCGCTGCTCCAGGCCCGGACTGAGGGTCCGAGGTGGGATGGGCGTTGTCTGTGCCCTGGTCACCACCTCCTGGGCATCCCCACTGAGGGTGCGGGAGGGTGGGGACCACAGGTTCTCTGCAGGCGCTCCTGTCTGTTCCCTCACACTGTCACTCTCGAGGGGTGTTGGGGGCGGGGTCAGGGCCGTCGGGGAGGACGCCGCCACCCCTTGACCCGAGCTCTGCCCGGGGCAGGACCACTCCGAGAACGCCATCGGCGTGGCGGCCACCATGGCCCACGAGATCGGCCACAACTTCGGCATGAGCCACGACTCTGAGAACTGCTGCCAGGCCAGCGCCGAGGATGGAGGCTGCATCATGGCGGCCGCCACCGGGTGAGCCGGGGGCCCGGGGGACGGAGGGACCAAGGGAGAGGGACAGTGAGGCCACCAACAGACACGTGCGAGGAAGAGCTCGAGTGCAAGGGTGCGTGTGTGTGTGTGTGTGTGAGAGTATGTGAGTCTAAGCAGGCGTGAGTGTGAGTATGTGTGTGTGAGTGCGTGTGTGAGTGGGTGTGTGCAAGTGTGTGGGAGCGTGGTGGAGTGGGAGTGAACCAGGGGTGTATGTGAGTGTTGATTGTGTGTCCGTGGGTGGGGGTGAGTGTGAGTGGGTGTGAACTGTGGGGTGTATATGTGGGGGTGTGGATATGAGTGTGTTTGGGTGAGTGTGAGTGGGTGTATATGACTGTGGGCATGTGCGTGTGGAGTGTGAGTTTGTGTTGTGTATGTGAGTGTGTGTGAGTGTGAGTAGGTGTGAACTGTGGGTGTATGGCTGTGTTTGTGAAGGGTGATTTTGTGAGTGTGTATGCGAGTGTGTGTATGTGAATGCACGTGAACTGTGTGGGTGTGTATGCGTGGCGTGTGTATCTGAGTGTGTGTTTGGAGTATGAGTAGGTATGAACTGTGTGGGTGTGTGTGACTGTGGACATAATGTGTGGAGTGTGAGCTTGTGTGTGTATGGAAGTGTGTGTGTATGAATATGTGTGTGGAGTGTGTGAGTCTGGAAGTGTGTGTGAGTGTGCATGGGAGTGTGTCAGCATGTGTGTGTGAGCGAGTGTGTGATCATGTGTGTGAGTGTGTATATGGGAATGTGTGAGCGTGTATGGGAGTGTGTGTGTGAGCTTGTGTGTGAGTGTGTATAGGAGTGTGAGTGTGTGTATGTGAGTGCGTCAGTGTGAGTTGGCTGCGTGTGCAGTGTGGCCCCAGCCTGCAAACACAACAGGCCCAGCCTGGGGAGGATGTTGCAGCCTCTCCTGTCGGTTTTGGGGAGAGCAGGGCTGGGGGCCTGGGGGGTGCCCCCAGCCCTTGGGCCTTACCCCTACCCGCTGCATCTGTGTGCCCCTCAGCAGAGAGGGGGGCAGTGCCGAGACCCCCGGTGCATGCAGACCCCCGGGGCGGGGCGGGGAGCGGAGAGCAGGGAGGGGGTTGGCCCGGCTGGTCACCCATCCGCCGAGGCTCACCCCAACCTCCCTGCCCGCCCGTGTCCCCCCCAGCCATCCCTTCCCCAGGGTGTTCAACAACTGCAACCGGCGGGAGCTGGAGCGCTACCTGCTGTCGGGCGGGGGCATGTGCCTGTCCAACATGCCGGACACCAGCACCATGTACGGCGGCCGCAGGTGCGGGAACGGCTACCTGGAGGAGGGGGAGGAGTGCGACTGCGGTGAGGAACAGGTGAGGCCGGGCCCTGGGCAGGAGGGTGCAGTGGGCAGTGCCCGGGTGGCAGCCTTTCCCCTGTCTCAACCCCCCGCCTGGTGGGCCACTCTGCCCCGCCGTGATCCGTTCCTGCAGCCCGAAGAGATCCCGCCCCCTTGAACCCTCTCCGCTGCTAGCTGCCTGGAATTTGTTCTGTTTTTTGTTGTTGGTGTTGTTGTTGTTTTTTGTGTCACACCCGGTGATGCTCAGGGGCTCCTCCTGGCTCTGCACTCAGGAATCACTCCTGGCAGTGCTCGGGGGACCCTATGGGATGCTGGGAATCAAACCTGGGTCGGCCTCGTGCAAGGCAAACGCCCTCCCCGCTGTGCTATCGCTCCAGCCCCGCGTCCCGCGTTGGGCGTTTTCAGAAGCTGCCCCGGCTTCTGCAGAAAAAGGGACTCGGGAGGGGGGTGGAAGGACAGTGAGGAGGGTGCTTGCCCTGCCCTCGGCCAACCTGGGTCCCCCAGTACCACAAATGGTCCCATACGCCACACAGAGAAAGCAATCTCTGAGCACTAAGCCAGGAGTAAAGCCCTGAGTACTGCTGGGTGTGGCCCCAACACCAAAAAATAAGAAAAGGAAAACTGAGACCCCAACTTAATGTTTGTTAGGTTTGATTTTTTTGGTTTTTGGTTTTAGTTTTTGTTTTGTTTTGTTTTGTTTCTGACTGGAGGGATAGCACAGCGGTAGGGCGTTTGCCTCACACGCGGCCGACCTGGCTGACCCAGGTTCGATTCCTCCGCCCCTCTCGAGAGCCCGGCAAGCTACCGAAAGTATCTCGCCCGCACGGCAAAGCCTGGCAAGCTCCTCGTGACGCATTCGATATGCCAGACACAGTAATAACAAGTCTCACAATGGAGACGTTACTGGGCCTGCTCGAGCAAATCGATGAACAACGGGAGGACAGTGTTGTTTGTTTGTTTGTTTTCTAACTTTGATATGACGTCTGTTGACACAAAGCCATCTGGGGCAGGGGATGGGCGTGGGGGGCTTCACGAACAGCTGGAGATTTGCAGGGAGGTAAGACTGCAGGCCTCTGTGGGCTGGACTCCGCCTGCACCCACCTTCCCCGATGCATCGGACGCTACGGTGCCCGTCCCCTACCTGCCCCCCCATACACAGATCAGCCCAGGCCCAGGAATCTGCGGATGGAGGTGAGGGGTGGGGGGTGGACGGCATCGGAGTGGACACAGCTGGTGAGCAAATACCGGGACGCCTGTGCCTTCAGCTGCGGGAGGCTGGGGCGTGGTGCTGCACCCTGGGACCGGGACGGAGGACCTCCACCCGCAGATCCTTGGGGTTACGGAGGGGTGGGGTCACGGTGGTGTCCCCGGCACCACAGATGGTCTCATAAGCCCAGCAGGAGCAATCCCTGGGCCCAGAATCAGGAGTAAAGCCCTGGGTACTGCTGGGTGTGGCCCCAAAACCAAAACAAAGTGGGGCTGGAGCTATAGCACAGCAGGGAGGCTGTTTGCCTTGCACGCGGCCAACTCAGGTTCCATTCCCACCATCCCAGACGGTCCCCTGAGCACCGCCAGGAGTGATTCCTGAGTGCAGAGCCAGGAGGAACCCCTGTGCATCGTCGGGTATGACCTGAAAAGGAAAAAAAGAATTAAAAAAACACCTAAAAAAAGAATAGCAGAGCTGGGAACAGGAGAGATGAGGGGTGGGAGTCGCAGTGAGGGGAGGGAGGGGAAAATGCCTTGTGCCTCAGTTTCCCCACCTGCAAGGAGGGATGATTCTGCCTCATGGGGCCCTGGGCTGGAGCTGCAGGGAGGATAGGAGAAACCTGTAGGTGACAGGGACCCAGCGCCCCTGGGGGGTCTCCCCAGGACAAGCCTATCCCCCCCCCCAACTTCCCCGGATATTTTTGTTCTCGTGTGTGTGTGTGTGTGTGTGTGTGCTTGGGCCACACCTGGCGGTGGTCCTGGTGGGGCTCAGGGGACCCTCAGGGATGCAAGATGAGCCCCTTCCCTGCTGTGCTGTCGACCCCCCCGGCCCAGCCCTCCCCGGCAGCCTTGGTGCCCACCAGAGCCAGGCAGCCGCGAGGAGCAAACTCTCCCTCAGCATCTGGGGGGTGGGGAGATGACAGGGCCACGACGATGGTCCCTGTGTCCCCACCATGCGGCTCACGTGTCCCCTACGCTCCCCTCTTCTCCCCAGGAGTGTGACAACCCCTGCTGTAACGCCAGCAACTGCACCCTGCGGCCGGGCGCCCAGTGTGCCCACGGCGCCTGCTGCCAGCACTGCAGGGTGAGTGACCGGCCGCACCCCTGCCTGCCCTGCGGGGGGGGGTAGAGGGGGGCGGTGGGGGAGGTTGGCAGGGGCCCCCTCCCGACAGCAAAGCGGGTCTGCGCCGGACACTGGGAGCTCCCGGAGAGCTATCCTCAGCCCCTGCCCCGACCCCCCACAGCACCATCTAGGGGGCATCTCTCTGACTTCCTTTTTGCCCACTGCCGGGAGGAGGCGGCAGGGGGGCCGATGCGGTTCGGGTTCGAGTGAGTGAGTGAGTGAGTGAGTGAGTTTGCGAGGGCTGGGGGTGGGGGCCAAGGGCCAAGCCGGTGGCTCTCACCGCTCGCTCCCCTCCCTCCCCCCCTCCACACACAGCTGCTGGCCCCCGGCACCCCCTGCCGCACGCGGGCGCGGCAGTGCGACCTCCCCGAGTTCTGCACGGGCACGTCCCCCCACTGCCCCACCAACTACTACCAGATGGACGGCACGCCCTGCGAGGGGGGCCAGGCCTACTGCTACAACGGCATGTGCCTCACCTACCAGCAGCAGTGCCAGCAGCTGTGGGGGCCCGGTGAGCACTCCCCACCCACCACCACGCACCCCTGGCCGCCCCCTCACCCCCTGCCGGACTGCAGAGTGCGCCTCAATCCCAGTGGGCTTCCAGTTTGAGGCGGCGGCCAGGCTCCTTCCATCCGTCCTACTCCCGGATGCTGTGCTACCCTCCCGCACCCGGAGGCGGCAGGCAGGCAGGGCTCAGGGCTGACTCCTGGCTCTGTGCTCAGACATATCACATCCTGACGGGGCTCGAAGCCCGGCCAGCCACAAGCGAGCCTTACGCACTGTCCCACCTCTGCACCTCTACCCTCCACACACACACCCCCAAACGCTTTCTTTTATTTCTTTATTTAGTTCTTTATTTGGGCTGGAGCGAAAGCCCACCGGGTAGGGCGTTTGCCTCGCATGCGGCCGACCTGGCTGACCCAGGTTCGATTCCTCCGCCCCTCTCGGAGAGCCCGGCAAGCTACCGAGAGTATCTCGCCCGCACGGCAAAGCCTGGCAAGCTCCCCATGACATATTCAATATGCCAAACACAGTAACAACAAATCTCACAATAGACGTTACTGGGCCTGCTCGAGCAAATCGATGAACAACGGGAGTGACAGTGACATTTATTTACGTATTTAATGAATTCCCAGGAGATACAGTTACAGACTTACAAACTTGCACGATTACATTTCATTTCGGTCATACAGTGTTCATATATCCATCCCTCCACTCCTTGCCCAATTATCCATCATCTCCATCACCAATGCCCCCAGTACCCCTTCCCGACCCCCACCCACCACCCCGCCTCTGTGGCAGGCACATTCTCTCTCTCTCTCTCTCTCTCTCTCTCTCTCTCTCTCTCTCTCTCTCTCTCTCTCTCCTTCTGGGTGTTATGGCCAAACTCTTTTTAACCTCACAATCTCCCCCCAAGGGCCCGGAGCTTTGCCCTCACTGACCACAGTTTCTTGCCAACCAGGGGCCCAGCCTGCGCCTGATCTCTGCTTCGAGAGGGTGAATGTGGCCGGGGACACCTTTGGGAACTGTGGGAAGGACATGAACGGGGAGCACAGGAAGTGCAGCATGAGGTGAGGCCCAGGCCAGAGACACCCACCTTCCCCTTTCCCCCCCCCCGCTTCCCTTCCCCCAGCAGGGCTGGTGCCCACAGCTGCCCACCCCCCACCCCTGCCTCCTCTGTTTCATCTGCATGTCAGGCTGGTGGGCCCAGGGCTGGGCTGGTGCATGTCAGTCCTGGGGAGATCAAGGGCCAGGTGCTGGCCAGGCGTTGGCGGGGCCTCCTGGAAGGCGTGTCCCGTTGTCTCTGGAACCTCCTTAAAGCCTGGGAGAGTCAGCCCATGATAGTCACTTCTTGATGCTAGTGATACCCTCTCTTGGTTATACCCTCACATTATCTGCTCATTCATACTTTTTCTCCTAAAGAGCCTTGAATATAATCTCAGGGCTAGGATGAAAGAGACGTTACTGGGGCCTGCTCGAGGCAATCGACGAATAACAGGATGATGAAATGAAATGATGGGTCTCTCATACTTTTTCATTCATTCCAACATCCCCTCACGGCTCCCCAGCCAGCCAGCCCCCCACCCACCCACCCAACCATTCAGCCAGCCACCCACCCACCCATCCAACCTGCCAGCGAGCCACCCACCCACCCAACCAGCCACCCAGCCAGCCAGCCAACCAGTCAACCCACCACCCAACCAGCCACCCACCCATCCACCCAACCAGCCAGCCAGCCAGCCAGCCAGCCACCCACCCGCCCAACCAGCCACCCACCCACCCAACCAGCCAACCCACCACCCAACCAACCAGCCAGCCACTCAACCAACCAGCCATCCACCAACCCAAACAGCCAGCCGGCCACCCAGCCACTCACCCACCCAAACAACCAGCCACCCACCGACCCAGTCAGCCAGCCAGCCAGCCCCCCACCCAGCCACCCACCCACTCATCACTTAACCAGCTCCCCACCCACCCAGCCAGCCAGCCGCCCACCCACCTCCCCACTCATCTATCCAACTCCCCATCTACCCACCGAATCACCCCTCTGCCCATACATCTAATCTGTCCCCCTCCCCCACCCGCTCCCCCCACCCTGTGTACCCACTCTGCCCCCCCACACCCCTCGTCCCTTCCGGGCCATGCCCCCATCTCACTCTCCTCTCCCGGGCGCAGAGACGCCAAGTGCGGGAAGATCCAGTGCCAGAGCTCGGAGGCGCGGCCCCTGGAGTCCAACACCGTGTCCATCGACACCAACATCGATATCGATGGCCGGCGCATCCGCTGCCGCGGCACCCATGTCTACCGCGCCCCCGAGGAGGAGGGCGACATGCTGGATCCGGGGCTGGTGATGACCGGGACCAAGTGTGGCTACCACCACGTGAGTCCTGGCCCGCTAGGCCTCGGGTCCCGGCCACATACCCCACCCCATCCCCAATCCTGGCCCCTCGGCGGGGACTTCCTTCCTTGGCACAGTGCAGTGTGGCCCGAGACAGCTGAGAGTCTCCCTCTCTCCCTCCCTCCCTCGCTGCCTGCCAGCCCTGTCACCCTCTGCCAAATTGGTCTCGGGAGAGGGGGAGGGGGGAGATGAGGGGGGAGGGAGAGGGCGGGGACCCTGTCTCCAGCCATCCGGGTGACTGAGCAGCATCTGTGTGCCAGCCCAGAACTGGCGTCGCTGTCCTCGGTTTTGGCATAAGACAAATTTGAGCAGTTGATTAATTAAAGAACTAATTAGTTGATGAATTAATAACGCACTAATGAATCGATGTCCAGCATCGACGGCTTTCTCCCGCCCACCTCTCGCCCAATCGCAAATGGTCATGGGCGTGTAACTCCCCACGCCCGAGCCCCCAGCAGCCCAGCTACCCCTGTGGTCCCTCATCCCACGCCCCCACAACCCCCACCCAGCCTGGAGCTGATGGCGCGCTCCCCTCCCCTCCACCATGCCCCCCTGCAGATCTGCTTCGAGGGCCAGTGCAGAAACACCTCCTTCTTCCACATGGAAGGCTGCGAGAGGCAGTGCAACGGCCGCGGGGTAGGTCCCCAGGAGCTCCTGCTGCTGGGACGGGACTGGATGGGCCGGGCTGGGCTGCTGGGCCCAGGGGGCGCTGTCCAAGGTGCTGACACCTGGGCCACGCCCCCTTCCCCCCACCCCCAGGTCTGCAACAATAAGGGCAACTGCCACTGTGACAGGGGCTGGGCCCCGCCGTTCTGCGACAGGCCGGGCCAGGGGGGCAGTGTGGACAGCGGGCCCCTGCCTGCCGAACGTGAGTGTCTGGCCCCGGGGGCTCCCACCTTCTGGGGCGGGTGGGGCCACCTGTCGCAGGGGGCAGGGGTCACGGGACACAGTGTAGTAGGGCAGCCATCTGGGGTCAGCCTCTCCTGCTCACGTGGACACGGGCACGCGACAGTGCAGGGAAAGGGCAGAGCCCCCCTCCCCTCCCCCTCCCCCTCCCGGGCACTAGGAAGGTTTTTGCACGGTCCTTCCTTTCCGGCGGGGGCGGGGGGGGGGGCAACTGATGATGCTTCTTGACCCTTTAGATCCTGGAGCGCACAAGTTAGTTGAGACTCAGGGTCGAGTCCGGATTTCCAAATTGTTTAAAAAAACAGCCCTCCTGGCTTTCTGTCCTTCCCTTCCTTTCTCATTTCCTCCTTCCTCCCTTCCTTCCTTCTCCCTTTTCTTCCTCCCTTTTTCCCTCCCTTCCTCCCTTTCTTCCTTTCTCCCTTTCCTTCCTCCCTTTTTCCTTCCTCCCTCCCTCCCTCCCTCCCTCCCTTCCTTCCTTCCTTCCTTCCTCCTTTCCTCCCTCCCTTTCTTTTTCCTTCCTTCCTCATCCCTCCCTCCCTTTCTCCGTTCCTCTGTTTTTCCCATTCTTTTCTTTTCTTTGTGCCCGAGTGACACTTGGGTGGCCCACACGCAGCTCAGAACCTTTCCCCTCCCCACAGCCTGTTCGCTCAAGACCCCAACCCCCTCACCACCACCCCCAAACCAAACTGGTGCTCCCGCCCTCAGACGGCAGGGCTCCCCTCTTTCTATCTGATCTCCCCCTTCTTCCTGTTTTATTTAAAAATTTTTTAAAAATTAAAAATAATTTTTAATTGAATATAGACCCTTCCGAAGCTGTTCATAATTGGGTTTCGGTCATACAAAAAAAATAAAAATAAATTTTTTAATTGAGATAGACCCTTCCAAAGCTGTTCATAATTGGTTGTCAGTCGTACAATGACCCATCCCTCCACCAGTGCACATTTTTCACCCCCAAGATCCCCGTTTTCCCCTAGGGCTGGCCGCTTCAGTGCCCGGCTCCCAGCATGTGGAGCTGCCCGGCCCCTGTGCTACTTGGGGGTCCCAGTGCCACCCTGGGGTGCTTGAGGACCTCCGCCTGTGGTGCCCAGGGAGCACAGGGTGCTGGGGACTGAACTGGGGTCCTGCGCATGCGGGGAAGGTGCCCTCTCCACCTTTTTTTTTTTTTAACAAAATCAAAGAAGGAAATCTAAACCCATAAAGCAGATGAAAGTGTGTTTTGTGGGGTTGGGGAGATGGCTTTGATCAAGGGCCAGTTTGCAAGTTTTGCAGATGGAAGGCAAGAAGAATGGTCACACACACACACACACACACACACACACACCATCAAGACAGGGGTGAGCCAAACACATTAGTGCCTCCCTCACTGCCGTGGAGCGATTGGTAAAATCAGTGGCTCTGCCTCTCACCGCGCCTTTCCCTGGTTTGATCCTCTTTGAGCTAGGAGTGAACCCGCCCCGCCAAAAAAAAAAAAAAACACACAAACACACGCGCCAGCCCAGTGATGCGGGGCTGACAGCGGGCAGGGCGGCTCGGGCCCGGGCTTGAGCTCGTGTCTCTGCAGTTACACAGACCGGCTGGGAGCATCCGTGGGGCTGGCTCGGCCGCGCCCTCTGGTTCCCCAGGGTTGTGTATCCAGCGTCGCCCCAGGCCCCGATGGCACACGCGTAGGTGGTCCGGGGTGCACGGGGGTGTGTGGGGGAGGGGGGAGGGGGGCCGCGGTGGGAGCGCCTGTGCACGGTGCTGAGCGTGTCCTTCTGTCTGTCCCCGACCCCCTCCTCGCCCCGCCCCACCTCCCACTGCCACCCCCCACCCCCACCCCTTCCTCCCATCCGTCCATCCGTTTGTCTGTCCGTCCGCCCATTTCTTCTGCAGACGCCGGCGCCGTGGTGGCCGGGCTGGGCAGCGCCGTCTTCCTGCTGGCCTGCCTGCTGCTGGGCCTCCGCTGCTACCGCCGCAACCCCAAGCTGGGCAGGCTGGCGCCCTGGACACTGCCCAGCGCGCTGCAGCAGCGCTTCCGGTAAGACCTTGCGCAAGGACGTGCGCGCGCAGCGGCTGAAGCGGTAGCACAGCAGGGAGGGCGTTTGCCTTGCACGCAGCCGACCGGGGTTCGATCCCCAGCATCCCATAGGATCCCCTGAGCACCACCAGGAGTGATTCCTGAGTGCAGAGCCAGGAGTAACCACTGAGCATCCCCAGGTGTGACCCAAAAAGAAAAATTAAAAAAAGATACATACAGGGGCCAGAGTGTAGGACAGTGGGGAGGGCACTTGCCTTGCACGCAGCTCACCTGGGTTCGATCCCCAGCATCCCATAGGGTCCCCCAAGCATCGCCAGCAGTAATTCCTGAGTGCAGAGCCAGGAGTAACGTTACACCTGTGCATCACCGGGTGTGACCCCAAAAAGCAAAAAAGAAAAGAAACGAAAAAGACCCCACACGCAGCTTGAAGACCTTCCCCTCCCCCAGCCTGTTCACTCAAGACCCGGACCCCCTCACCATCATCCCCAAACCGAACCGGTGCTCCCGCCCTCAGACGGCGGGGCTCCCCTCGTTCTATCTGATCTCCCCTTCTTCCTGTTTTATTTAAAGTTTGAGCTCTCATCGTTTTATTTTCAATTGGCTGCTCCTCCCAGATCGGAGTATACTATAGTAAGACACTTTCTACCCATTTTTCATAATTACCACCCATGTTTGTTGCATTTCAGACAGTAGGCAACAAATCATAGAGGGAAATATAATATATATATATATTATACATACATATGCCTCTCAGAGAGTCCGCCAAGCTACCGAGAGTATCCCACCCGCACGGGCAGAGCCTGGCAAGCTCCCCGTGGCGTATTCCATATGCCAAAACCAGTAACTATAACAGGTCTCATTCCCCTGACCCTGAAAGAGCCTCCAATCGTTGGGAAAGACGAGTAAGAAGAGGCTGCTAAAATGTCAGGACTGGGACGAATAGAGACATTACTGGCGGCTGCTTGAGTAAATGAATGAACAACGGAATGACAGTGATATAGTGATACAGTGATTTTCAAATGCATGTGATTTCAGTCACTTTTGTCAGGGTCGGGGTGGGGGGCACAGCTGGGAGGAGGGGGGATGTTGCAAGGAGTGGGGGCGGGGCGCTGGGATGGAGCCTGGGTCTTTTTTTTTTCCTTTCTTTTAATGTAGGATTACTGCTGGTTATTCAGCCATTGGTTAAGCTGATTGAATTGGGCATGAATTCCACCTTACTTTTTTTTCTTTATTTTTTTTAAATTTTATATCTGTGAGATTGACCTTTTCAAAGCTGTTCATGGTTGCGTTTCAGTCATACAATGACCCAGCACCCATCCCTCCACCGGTGCACGTCTCCCACCACCAAGGCCCCCTCCCACCCCCCACCCCCGTTTCCCTACTACCATCCCCAACACCGTACCTCCTACCCCCAGTCTCCCGCTAGGGGACGCACTTTCCTTCTTGGAGCCTGGGTCTTGCCCCAGAAGCCCCGGCAAAGCATGGAGGGCCCCCCCAAGGGTAACCCTCCCCCCAAGGGCACCCTTTCCCCACATCCCCTGTCCTGCCCTCCTGCTGGGTGCCTCCAAGGATCTTACGGACCTTGCAGAGTTGCATGTGTTCTAGTGGGGGTTTCTCAGTGGGATCCGCATATCTGGGTCTGGCAAAGGGTCCGTGCTCCTTGAGGAACCCCAGACCTGGGGCTGGAGAGATAGCACAGCGGGTCGGGCGTTTTCCTGGCACGCAGCCGACACGGGTTCGATTCCCAGCATCCCATAGTGTCCTCTGAGCACCACCAGGAGTGACTCCTGAGTGCAGAGCCAGGAGTAACCCCTGTGCATCGCTGGGTGTGACCCAAAAAAGCAAAAAAAAAAAAAAAAAAAGGAACCACAGACCTGAAAGGACGGAGCAAGCTGGGGTGTGTGTGTGTGTGTGTGTGTGTGTGTGTGTGTGATATTCTCACTGGCCACCCACTGTGTGTGTGTGTGATATTACTGGCCACCCACTCCTGCCCATCCAGCACCCCTCTACCCCCTTGGCCCCCCTGAACAGGGGGACAGGGAGGTAGAACAGGGGCCAGTAGGACCTGACCTCCACCCTCATCCCTCTCTGCCCCCCCCATTCCCATCCCCAGCTGCCCCTTCAGGGTGTCTCAGAACAGCGGGACAGGCCACGCCAACCCCACTTTCAAGCTTCAGACCCCCCAGAGCAAGAGGAAGGTAAGCACCAGCCCTTGCTCCCACCCTCTCCCCGGGGAGGGGCCCCTGGCAGGGCGGGGCGGGGCCGCTCCCGAGTCTCACGCCTTCCCTGTCCCCCCCCCCGCACACAGGTGACCAACACCCCGGAGACCCTGCGGAAGCCCTCCCAGCCTCCTCCTCGGCCCCCTCCAGATTACCTGCACTGTGGCTCCCCCCTGGCCCCCCCACCCCCGCACCCCAGCAGGCCGGCCAGGCCTCCCCCAGGGTCTGGGGTCTCCGTGGAGAGGAAGGAGTCCGCTCGGGGGCCTCCCCCGAGCCGGCCCGTGCCCCCCGCCCCACTCTGCTTCACCTCCCAGGTAAGAGGGTCTGGAAGGGAGGGCAGGGGGTGGCGGGGGTGTCGGGCTTGACAGGTGGCCTGGTGGGTGGTGAGCTGCGCCGTCCCCCTTTTTCTGCTTTCCTGGGAGGGTGGGCGAGGAGCGGGCCCCCAAGACATGCCCAGCTCGCCCTCCGCCTCTCCCAGCCCGCAGCTGCACTGCCCCGGCCCTAGAGTTCGAGTCCGAGCCCAGGGCCCCTCTCATGAGACACGCAGACGGCAGTGGATGTGGCCAAGGGTTTGGACGCTGCGGGGGAGCTGGCAAGTGGCCTCCCGGAGTCTCTGCTGTCCCCGTGTTCGTAGGACAGGGGACACGCTCTCTCTGGGTCCAGGCGACCCTGCCTCCTCCACACGTGTCCTCGGTCACTGTCAACAGGATGTTCCCCCCACACCTCCCCCCTGCTCCTCCCTCGTGAATACGGTGTCAGCATCCCTGTGTCCTCCCAGGCTTCCCTCCCCATGGCCACTGTGGCCGTTTATAGTTCCTGCTGCCACCTCGGCCCGTCTCCATGCACGTGGGACTCCGGTGAGGGCAGGAAGACGAGATTAGGGGATGAGGTTGGGGATGACCTCGTTTCCAACTTAGGTGACGATACCATCAGGACCCTTAAAAAGACAAGTGGGTGGCTGGAGCGATAGCACAGCGAGCGGGTTGGGCGTTTGCCTTGCACGTGGCCAACCCGGGTTCGATTCCCAGCATCCCATGTGGTCCCCCGAGCACCGCTAGGAGTAATTCCTGAGTGCAGAGCCAGGAAGAACCCCTGTGCATCGCCGGGTGTGACCCGAAAAACAAAAAGAACAAGTGGGTTCCCGGGCAAGTGAGGCCAGACAAGCCGGCCTAGCGGGGCGCCCGGTGGCATAGCCCTTCCGGTAAACTGTCTGGGCACTGCCGCACAGGCACCGGGATGGTAACGGCCCCGTCCTCGGGCTACCCCTAGCCCATGAGTGAGGCTCCCCACTTCTCCTGTCCCCCCCTTCTCCAGGACCTCTCCAGACCTCGGCCGCCCCAGAAGGCGCTGCCCGCCAACCCAGTGCCCAGCCGCAAAGGCCTGCCCCGGCCAGGTGGCGTCCCCGTCCTGCGGCCCCCAGTGACCACCCCTCAGCATCCACGGCCTCTAGCCGCCCCAATCCCAAAGGTGAGCCCCGCAGTGGGGGTCGGGGGGCGGAGCCGGGTGCCTTCCAGGACGTGGGGAGGGGGGGCCACAGACCTCACCCTTCCCACCGTCGGCCCCCAGGGGCCCCTGAGCGTGGCTCAGCCTTTAGCGGGTCTCTCCCCCTCTCCCCTCCCCCCCTCGCTCTCTCTGCAGCTTCCTGAGTACAGATCACAGAGGGTCACGGGTATGGCCAACTCCAGGATCTAGAACCCTCCGCGGCTGGCAACTCTGCGTCCCTCCCCCGTGGTCAGCACGCCGGACTCTCCTCCCGCCTGCCGTCCCCCTCCCGGTCCCTCCGCCGTCTCTCTCACACACACACACACACACACACACACACACACACACACACACACGGGCCCCCGGGGCTGGGGGAAGTGTCCCCTAGTGCAATAGCAGCCCCTGCCCGCCCCCCAGAGCCAGGCTGTACCCCCACGCCAGCTCCGCCCCCCCCCCCAGGTATCTGCTCACGGTGGACACGTCCACTCACTCCCCTCACCCCCTCCCCCGGAGTCAGTGACTCAACCAGGTACTAGTCGTGGGGCAGCCTAGGAGGGACACCACTGGGCCGCCCTACTCCCTTGATGCCAAAGCACGCCGCCCTCCCCGCCCCCGCCCTGCTCGCTGCGTCTCTTCCGCTGGACCCCCCAGGTCCCCTGGGGACTCATCCTGTCTCCCGTCGCTACCCCCCCTTCCACCCCCACCCCCCACTGACCCACCCGACGTGTGGTGCTATGGACCGTGGTCCTAACCGCCTCTCCTCAGGCCCTGGTGCTTGGCGGTGGCCGCAGGGTCGCGCCTTTGTTCCCGTCCTGGCCTTGGCGGTGCCCACCAGGGGCAGCCCTTGGCGGGGTCATTCCTCATCCTGATGGGCAGGGACAGGCATCAGCCCCCCACCACCACACACACACACACACACACACACACACACACACACACACAGCCTTCCCAAGGGGCGCCACTGCTGCCCGCCATCACCGCCCACTGCCAGTGACCCCCCCCCCGCTTGACCCCAAGGGACCCCTCACAGCAATGGGGGCTGGAAGGGGCTCACCCAGATCAGGGAAGGGGGCCCCCAGCAGGTGCTGGGCACGGGTCTTCCGCCGCCCGCAGATAGTGGTGGGCGCCTGGGCTTCAACGTGTCCTCAATTTTCAAAGGAAGAAACTTGAGTTTCCCAGGCCCCATCCCCCACCCAGGACCCCTGACCTCTCTCTGCACAGAGTCGGTGCTCAATAGGGGTCACGGGCAAGAGGGGGGCTGGGGGAGGGCCCCTCAGGGTTCACGGGTGGGTCCTCACAACTAGGAGCATAACCCGCCCTGCCTTGGGGAGCTGTGTGTGCCTGTCCACACCTCCCACACCAACAGAGGGTCCCTCCCCCCTGCCCCCCCACACCTGCCCTGACCCCAAAAGCCCTGGTCGGGGTATGTTCGAAGTTTGACGCCAAACCAGGACACCCCCCCAACCCAACCCAGGGCCCCCCGGTATGAGGCAGGAGGCGCATGGGTGAAAGCTGTCCTTCCCCCCCCCCCCCCCCCCCCGCCTAGACCCCTGCACCCCTCCATCTCCCAGCGTGGGGGCAGCACTCCCGACATGTCTTGGCTTCTGTTTTTGGCAGCCCCCACCCCCCATCGGGGTCCCGCCTCCACCTCCCCCTGCACCCCCAAACTCGACTGTGAACTGGAAGGGGGCGGAGAGAGATTCTCAGCAGCAGCTGTGTTCTGGGAGATTCCGGGGGTGGGGGGGTGCCCTCCCCCCTCCCGGGTGCTGCTCTGTGGATTTCAACAAAGGCGAGCCCGGCGCCTCAGGAAGAAGGGGCTCGCTCCCAGGGGGCTCTTGCCAGGAAAGGCAGCTGAAGAGGTCATGGCCGGAAATTGGGGGTCCACCTGCCCACCTCCAGGATGGCCTGCAGGAGGGGCAGGGCGGGGTACAGCAGCAGGTGGGGAGAAATACATAGAAACCTTCTCCCAAAGCCAAATTAGCCTCCGGAGGGACAGAGAGAGCCCGAACTCAGGTTGGACCCTGGGCATCCCTACCCCCAGGGTCCCCCGAACCCCGCCAGGGGCGATCCCCGAGCACAGAGCCAGGAGTCGGCCCTGAGCACCGGCGGGTGTACAGATTCACTTCCAACCACTTCGACGCTCTGGGGGGGCCAACTTCTCCCGCAGAGCCGTTCCTCAGCAAGCCTCAGGCGACCTTTGACCTGGGGGAGCAAGCCAGGCCACCCACCTTCCCCCCCCCCCCCCCCGCACCCTCCTTTTCCTGGGCTCAGAGGTTCCTTCGGCCTTGACTTCTCTGGGTGCAGGGCCGTGCTGCACTCTGAGCCACCGGCAGCCACATGGAACAAGGCCCCCCCCCCACCTCCCATCCCCCACCCCCAGATCTGCCCTGCCCTGCTGGGGACAGACTCCTGTATTTCAAACTGGGCGCCAGTTCTGACACCGCAGGACCAGACCAGCCCAGGACAAGCAAGGCCAACTGGAAAAGCGTTCTTTCCTCGCTCGCTGCCTGGGAAGGGGGACCTCCACCTCCCCTGGCCCCCTCTCCACCCCCCCTTTTAACCCTCCCCCACCTCTCGCTGCTCCCCACCCCACCCCCATGTAGAGTCTGGGATCCAGATCAATGTGAAATTTTCCTTGTTCCTCGGGAGATCGTCTCCCTCCCCCTCCCCCCCCCAACCAGGATACAGACTCTGTCTCCGCGTCTATGTTTACAATTCCTGTACTCCTATGCAACATACTTGAATGGGCCAAGGTGCCTTCCTATTTAATTAAAATCATGATAATGTTCCGTCTTGGCCTGGCTGCTCTTGCTTGCGGGTGGGGGGCTGTCGGGCATCCTTGGGGGACCCAGCCAAAGAGGGATCCTCCAGGAAAAGCTCCCCCTTCCCCCCCCATACCACCCCCCAAAAGCTGAAGTTTGGAGCCACGTGGCCAACCCAGGGTTCGATCCCATAGGGTTCCCCAGAGCACCTCCAGAAGTAATTCCTGAGTGCAGAGCCAGGAGTCAGCCCTGTGCATTGCCGGGTGTGACCCAAAAAGAAAAAAATAGATAAATAAAGCTCGGAGTCATGTCCCCCACCCCGTCTGTGAACAGGGAGGAGCAACAGCACAGAGGGTTCGATCCCTGGCACCCCGCAGCGTCTCCTGAGCACTGTGGGTGGGGCCCCTCCCTCAAAAACAGACAAAACCTAGGGGGCTGGAGCAATAGCACAGCGGGGAGGGCGTTTGCCTTGCATGTGGCCCAACCCGGGTTCGATTCCCAGCATCCCATAGGGTCCCCTGAGCACCGCCAGGAGTGATTCCTGAGTGCAGAGCCAGGAGGAACCCCTGAGCATCACTGGGTGTGAACAAAAAAAAGAAAAAAAAAAACACAAAACCTAGGCCTACCTCAGTGTGGGGTGGGGTGGAGAGGAGACTGGCTTAGCCCTCACTGGAGCATCAAGCCAGATCCCCTGAGGGTTCTGGGGTAACACAATAGAGCTCTGCCCCCAAACTGCCTGTCCCCCACCACCCCACCCCTTCCCCAGACCCCGCCTTCCCTGTCTGATCTCACTCAGGCCTGCTGAGATCAGGGACTGCAACCTTCCTGTCCCCTGGCACTCAGGGCCCCGTGACCAAGGAAAATCAAGACCAGGGGGACGGGAACAGTCCAGAGCTTTATTCCTGGCTGTGCCCACTGGCCGGGAGCCCCCTCGCCCCCACGCCACCCCCAGCTCAAGGCCGCCCTTGGCTTCCATGCAGGGCCCTGACTTAGGCCACTGGCAGAGGGCCCAAGATTTGGAAGAGCCCGCAGGAGGCTGACTGGGGTGTAAACACAGGACCCACCGGGTGTGGGGGTACCCGAGTGGGGGGCTTGCCTGGAGGGAGAGGGGCCCAGGACCACACGCCCTCTCCAATTCTGTGCAGGCTCCATTCTTTCCGCTCAACACTCACTGGGGTAGCGGCCCCTGTGGGCAGGAGGGGAAAGGCAGGACCTTCCAACCACTCCGCACGCCCCCCCCCCCCCACCTCCCCAAGGCCAGGTCCCTCCAGGGGCTGCCCTGCTCAAGGCGTTAGGGGAAACCCCTTCCGCTGGGTGCTCGTGCCCAGCCCCCAACTCCAAACCCCCACCCTCTCCCAAGGTGACCATTGTTTGGTTTAACTCCACGAGGGAGAGGGCAGGCCAGCTGCTTGCTTCCTCTTGCACGTTCTGAGATGGGGAAACCCTCAAGGTCAACCCCGAGGCCTTGGACTGGACCTTGGGGGCAGGGCTGGGGGTCTGCAAAGCAGGGGCTCCCACTTCTGGATGGGGGGAGGGGGAGACAAGTTCCTGAGACATCCCTGGCATTCACAGTAAGGACATGAATCACTCAGCCTGTCTTCCTAGATAGAGGAAGCACCAAAGCGAGGGGACGCGGAATGAGTGTCGCGCTGTCCGTCCATCCGGGGCCACTCCAGGCCTCAGGAGCCTGGCGCCAAGACAGCACCAGCTGGTGGGGGGATGGGAGGAGGGGGTCCTCCAGGAAGCCCTCAGACCACTCTACATTCAACGGGTCAGATTTTGCCTTCTGCCGGGCGACCAGGTGGCACCATAAGACACACAGAAGAGGAAGGAGACCTCGTCGGCGTCCACAGACAGTTGGGCATTGGGTCACTGAGGCTGTGTTTCCAGAAATTTCCACTGCCACTGCTCACTGAGCAGGGGTGGGGGAGGGGCATTTTTTTTTCCTCCCGGAAACAGGGCTGAGGTATCTGTTAACATCTCCAGAGAAGATGCCCGCCACTGGGGTGCGGGAGGGGATTTGAGATTGAGAAGTCCAGCAACGTCCTGGATCACTTCCTGTGTCCTTTTCTCCCTCCCCTATCCCCGTGTCCCCCGTGCCAATCCTAAGAATGGATTGTAAGCTCCTGGAGCTTCCCCTGTGATGAGGCAATGCTGGCCAGCTCGATATTGTCCACCAGCACGTTCTTGTCCTCCAGCCGCGGGGCGGTGGGCTCCGTCAGGGCCCCGACGGCGGCAACAGCAGTGGCAGAGGCGTCAGCTGGGGACGCTGGGGCGGGCGCTTTGTGCATATGGGGCAGCTGGGCACGGCCCACGTCCAGGTCCCGGAAGGCGTGGAGCATGAACACCCCCAGGATGATGGTGACGAAGCCGGCCAGCGTGCCCACCACGTCCACAGCGGACATGCTGTGCCACTCCTTAAAGAGGACCATGGAGGAGGTGACCACCACGGAGGTGAAGATGACGTAGTAGATGGGGAAGACCAGTGAGGTGTTGAACACGTCCAGCGCCCGGTTGAGAAAGTTCACCTGCGTGCTGAGTGACAGCGCCAGGATGAGGGACAGTACGTAGGGCAGCGGGTGGCGCACCACAGGCAGCCCCTGGAAGAAGTTCTTGATGGTGATGCCCAGGCCCTTGACGGCCGTCACCGAGAAGGCGCCGATGACCGAGCAGATGACAATGTACACCAGGATGTTCCTCTGCCCGTAGCGGGGGGCCACCACGAAGATGAGGATTAGGCAGAAGACCACCAGAAGCACGGAGAACACGATGTAACCTGGGGAGAGGATGGTGGGGGAGACAAGGGGAGAAACTGAGTCCGGAGTCACACACCTTTCATGCCCTCTGGGCTCCTTACAGCCTGCTCCTAGCTTGGGGTCAGGAGGCTGAGGGATAGTCCGGTGGGGAGGACGCTTGTCCATCCTTGCCACCCTACAGGGTCCCCCGAGTCCCCGCCGGGAGTGATCCCTGAGGACAGAGCCAAGAGGAAGCCCTGCGCACTCCTGAGTGTGGCCCCCAAAACCATAGGAGTCATACCTGGGGGTCCTCAGGGGAAGACAGGGATACCCCCAGGCGGTTCCCAGGGTTGAACTCAAGCACCAGTACAGGCTCTGTCGGGGGGCTTTTCCACTTCCGTCACCCCAGCCCCTGAGGCATGTTAATAATAAACCTCCCTGGTACGAGGCCGGAGGGAAACTGGGACCATTGGTGGTGGGAAAAGTATACTAATGAAGGGACAGGTGTTGGAACATTATAGGATTGAAATCCAATCATGAACAACTTTGTAAACGTGTATTTCACTGTGATTCGATTTAAAAAAATTCTTTAACTTAAAATAATAAAGAGGGTAGGGCGTTTGCCTTGCATGCAATGGACCTGGGTTCAATTCCCAGCATCCCATGGGGTTCTCCCGAGCACCGCCAGGAGTAATTCCTGGGTGCAGATCCAGGAGTAACCCCTGAGCATCATCTGGTGTGACCCAAAAAGCAAAAAAATTAATAATGATAATAATAATGAACCTCCCGGGACTGGAGCCATGGTACAACCTGGGACCTTACATGGGCCAGACCCTGGTTCGATCCCAGGCATCCCCTGAGCACCACCAGGAGTGATCCCTGAGTGCAGAGTTAGGGGTAACCCCTGAACACCACCAGGAGTGATCCCTGAATGCAGAGTTAGGGGTAACCCCTGAGCATCTCTGGGTATAGCCCTAAAATCAAACCAAAACAAAAAATAGTAATAAAATAATGAACACTTCCTCCTCACCCAAGACCTACAATCCCCCCTCCACGAGCATCTGCCAGAAATGAATGTCACATGCTCAGGCCTAGTTTGACCATCACAGAGCCCTGGGGGGGCGGGGGCAAAACGAAGGGTTTGCGTGCTCCCCACCGCAAAAAAATGGGGAGCACAGGGCTGGCCCTGGCTACACCCTGTTTGCTTCTAGGCCTCTGCATCTCTCTCTAACGAGCCCACTCCCCGCCCCAGGGGTTCTATAAGATCAAATGAGAAAATGTGGAGGTGGGCGGCAGAGTGGGATGTCTCGTAATCCCCTTCCCCCAAGGGGGCAGAGGAAGGTCAAGCACTTGGCCAGGGAGGCAGCTCACCAGGCCATCCTACCCACCAAGCGTGGCCCCCAAACAAATAAAGATGAGAGTGAGCTAGCATGCGGGGGAGGGGGGGACTGGCGGCCACCCCGGGCGCCCCACCTGTGTCCTTCATCTTAGACGCCATCTGGACCACGGTGGTGATCTTCTCCTCGGAGGGCGCGTGGATGACCATCACGGTGCTGCCGGCCACGCAGATGACACAGCCCAGCTTCCCCAGGAGGTTCAGACACTCGCCCAGGAAGTAGGAGGAGAGGATGGCACTGCGCCAGGCGGCGGGCAGGGGACAAAGGGTCGGGGTGAGCCTCCCTGTTCTCTCTCCAGCGCCGAGACCCTCCCCCGATGCAGAGACGCAGCGAGCGTACTTGGGCTGCACAGAAGGGCCCCAGAGCGGGCACTCGGTGTCCCCACACCCATTGGGAACCCACTCTTGGCACTGCTTCTCCACTCCCTCACCCCCAGAAGTGCCATTAGGGTTGGGGGGGTCACACCTGGAGAGGTTCAGGACTCCCGAGAGGTGAGAGAAAGAATAGGGCTGGTAAGGTGTCCACCCCCCATCCGGCCAACCCGGGTTCAATTCCCAGCACTCTGCAGGGTGTTCTGCGCCTCTGCGCTCCGACAGGAGTAAGCCCCGAACACTGCGGGGAGTGCCCCCCCCAAAAAAACAAAAAGAACTCCCTGGAGGGCTCAGGGGTGCCCACCCAGGACCCGCAGGGACTGGGAGACTGGCCCCTGGGCCTCAGGGATCAATGACACAGAGGCCACTTGGTGTGTGCTGCCACTTGGGTCCTGGCTGTGCCATCCTCAGAGGCGTCACGGGGCCCGTGGGGTCGCCCGAGGTGGAGCAGGGCTGCAGGACCCCCCGTGGGAGGAGCCCACCTTCCGCCCAAATTAACCTGCAACGATGTAGCTAAGGCCGCAGGTAAGGGCGGTCAGTCCCCCAAGGCGGGGTAGGGCAGGACGGGGGGACAGTTTGGCGGTGGCGCTGGGCACAGGCATAAAGGGGTGCAGAAAGCACAGTCAATGGAGCCGCTTCGAGCTGACCCGGCCGGCTGCGCCAGTGCGCAGGCGCCAGCATGGGGGAGGGGCATGACAGTGACGTCACAGGGCGCTGCTCCCTTGACGTCAGCGTGATGACGTCACGTGCCGCCGTCCAGGTGATGAGATCAGCGTGGCGCCAGCTGCCTTCAGCTGTACTTCCTGGATCCCAAGCAGGGAGGGCAGCTCCCCCCCAGGACATTCTCAGTCCCCCACTGCCCAGCAGAAGGAAGGGGGACACTCTCCCGTGGACGTGGCCAGCGCTCAGGAGCCACCAACTTCCCGGCCTCCACCCAGGGCGCGGGGCAGGGAGGTGACACTCACCTGATGAGGACACTCAGCGCGCCCAGCGGCGTGATGACCGTGGCCGGCGCAAACGCGTACGCGCCGAAGTTGGCGACTTCCCCGGCGGCCACTAAGGAAGGAAGGGGAAGGAGGCCGTGAGAACCAGGCAACTCCTCCGTGGCCAGCCCGCCGGGGACCCAGCGGCATGGCCAGGCGTGTGCTCCAGGTCAGCCCCGGACCGGACCGCCTAGCCCTGTCTCCGAGACCCGGACTCCTCCTGGGACCTCCAAAGTAAGCGCACCCTGCAGGGCTGGGTCTGGGGTGGGGGACAAAGGTTCTCACGGGGGGGCACCTTCCCCAGAGCTGCCTAGAGCACTGAGTGCCTCCAGCCCCCAAGGGGTCCGTCCTCCCCACTCGCCTTTCCGGGGTGCTCCCCACCCCGTGCAGCTTGTACCCCCCTGGGAAGCAACCGGTGCCTGGACCCGGATCCCCGCCCGTGAGGCTCACGCCCTGGAATCTGGCCTGAAGAGTCAGAATGGGGAAAGGTGGGGGTGTGGGAAGGGGGACCAGGGGTCTCTGAGACGTCGGAGACTCCTGCGGGTCTGGACACCCCTTGGCTGCTGGGGGAGGCGTCTGGGGGGTCTCTCTGCGGCCTGATGCTCGCCGTGCTGTGGATTGGGGGTTGACCGGCCGCAGTGACCTGCCCCAGTGTCGGGAACGTGGGTCCCGCATCCAGGAGTCGCACGGGGGGACCTCTGGCCAGGCAAAGGGTGAGTGCTGGTACCCCAGGGCCTGTCCCCCAGACTGTGGGTGGTCTCTGAGCATCGCGGTACAATGCAAACCCCGCCCCCCCCGCCTGAAGACCTCCTGTGCCCACCCCTGAGTCCCAGCGCCTGGGGTGGGCAAGGAGAGCACTTACTGGTGAGGAAGCCGGCCCACCACATGGTGTCCTTCAGGTAGCCGTAGCCGCCGTCCACTGTGGGCAGGATGGACACAGTCAAGGCTGGCCATGTCAGCCCAGCCCCATCTCTGAGATTCAGAGGACCCTGGTCCTGGCAAGTCTCTAGGGCACTGCCCACCTGCAGGGGGCGCCCCATCCTTCCCGCAGGACTCTGGGGTCCTGTCTGTCCCCGCCCATCTCCCCCCATCCTTGCTGTCTTCTGTCTTCCTCTTCCTCTTTCTCCTCTTCCTCCTCCTCCTCCTCTTCCTCCTCCTCCTCTTCCTTCTTTTCCTCTTCCTCCTCCTCCTCTTCCTTCTCCTCCTCCTCCTCCTCCTCCTCTTCCTCCTCCTCCTCTTCCTCTTCCTTCTCCTCCTCCTTTCCTCCTCCTCCTCTTCCTCCTCCTCTTCCTCCTCCTCTCCCTCCTCCTCCTCTTCCTCCTCCTCCTCTTCTTCCTCCTCCTCCTCCTCTTCCTCTTCCTCCTCTTCTTCCTCCTCCTCCTCCTCTTCTTCTTCCTCCTTCTCTTCCTCCTCCTCCTCTTCATCTCACTGTTCTTTGTTTTTTTGCTTTTTTGGGTCACACCCAGCGATGCACAGGGGTTACTCCTGACTCTGCACTCAGGAATCACTCCTGGCGGTGCTCAGGGGACCGTATGGGATGCTGGGAATCGAACCTGGGTCGGCCGCATGCAAGGCAAACGCCCTACCTGCTGTGCCAGCCCCTCATCTCACTGTTCTGATGCCAAGCCGCCACCAAGACCCATCTCCCCCAAAGCCGGGCATCTCCCTAAAGATGGGCACATCTTCCCCTGCAAGCCTGAAGTCTCCAAGGTCCAGAACATGTGCTGCTCTGGGCCAGCCATGATTGGTCGCAGCCCCAGAAACACCGTCCCACGGAACCAGAACCGTGTCCCTTACCTCCCCCGAGCTGCCTATTCTTGTCCATCAGCCCGGAAGGGGGTTCAGCGAGCGAGCAGGGTCCGCATTGTCTCCCCTCGTCCTGCCGCCATTCTGCCCTCAAGCCAGCAGCCGACACTCATGTCTGCCCTCCAGAACTGCCGCCCCCAGTGGTCATTGCGTCCCCTCCTGGTCTGCAGCCTCTCCGCGACCCCTCCCCAAATTGGCCTTGGCGCTCCCCCCACCCCCACCCCAGCCCACTCTCCCAATGACTGGCTCTTAGCAGGGATCACCCCGCCTCAAACCTCCTGGTCACTCCAGCTCTCCCTCTCAACCCGGCCCTGCCTCCCACTGACCCCTGACCCCCCTTCCCCCATCCCTGTGCTCTTTCCCGCCAGAGCATCCTGACTTTCGCTTACGCCTTGCTCCCTACCTCCTCAAGGCCTCAGTCCCAGCTCCCCACCTCCTCAACCCCTTCCAGCACCCTCAGTCCCCCACCACCACCCCTGCCCCTCACCCATCCCCTCAAGAGGGATCCCCAAGTGCAGAGCCAGAAGTAACTCCTGAGTGTTACTGAGTGCTATGTCTCTCATACAGAGATGCCCCGTGAACACCCCCCCCCCCGTCCCATCTGCACACCCACTGACGCCCCCAGCAGAAACCCCCTGGGGGACCCTGCATGGCAGCCCCAGGGCCTTTGCACAAGAGCTGTGCCTGGCTCTCAGTCCCCAAGGGAGCTGGGACAGGCTTTGGGGACCGCCCTGCAGAGTCTCACCCCTCCCACCACAGCAAGCGGGTTTCATGGGAAGGCGCAGTGGGTGCAGAGGGGCTCGTACCTGGCCCCCAGGAGCCTACCTGCCCGCGTGGCGCCAGTGGCCACCAGCCGCTGCAGCCCCTTCTTCTTGAGGATGACGCTGCTGCCGATGAGGAAGCTGGAGAGGAGGGCGAGGCCCAGCCCCACGTAGAAGCTGTAGCTCTTCCAGAAGCGTTCCTGCCAGCGGGGGGCCGTGGCGTTAACGGGCGGCTCAGGGTCGAGGTGGCGGACCACCTGGCACAGGACTTGCTGGGATGAACAGTAGAGGCTGAGCAGGGAACCTGGAGGACAAGGACATGGTCATGGCCACGGCCACAGTCACAGCCATGGTCACAGCCACGGTCACAGCCATGGTCATGGCCATAGTCACAGCCATGCCACTGTCACAACCAAGGTCATGACCATGCCACAGTCACGACCAAGGCCGTGGCCATGCCACGGTTACAGCCATGGTCATGGCCACAGCCACAGCCATGACACAGTCACAACCAAGGCCATGCCATGCCACAGTCATGGCCACGGTCATGGTCATGACCATGCCACAATCATAACCAATATCATGGCCATGCCACAGTCATGGCCATGATCACAGCCACAGTCACAGCCACAGCCATGGTCACAGCCATGCCACAGTCACAACAAAGGCCATGGCCATGTCACAGTCATGACCATGGTCATGGTCACAGCCACAGCCACCACCATGGCCACAGTCACGGCCATGCCACAGTCGCAGCCAAGGTCATGGCCGCAGCCACCGTGCACTTTCCCAAGGCAGCTCTGAGCCACTCTTCAGCTGCTACAGGGCTCCCGCCACACCCCTGCCAGAGACAGCGTCCTGTTCTGGGGCTGGGGCATCTGGTGGAACAAGTCAGGCCAGGCTAACCTTGACCACCTGAGCAGACGCATGAAGACCCGAGCCGGGAGAACCTTTTATGAGCCAGCCCAACCTCGTGTCTGCTGGGGAAACTGAGGCCCTGGGGAAACTGATGCAAAGGACATGCCTTACACACACACATACACACACACACACACGCACACACACACACACACACACACGGAGTGGACAATCCCTGCATCCTTGCAATGCCAAGTGGCCGGCAAACATATGCATCAAGGCCAAGACTTTGCAGCCAGCTCCATCTGTCTGTCCCCAGACCGTCCGGACCGCTCTCTCCTGTTCCTCCAGCTCAGAAGGGGGGCGAGGCGGGGAGTTCCCTGCTCTCAGGAAATGAGCCAGACCTGGATGGAGGGTGTGGCCAGGGAAGAGACTCTGGGAGCCAGGCCAGCCTCCTCCCAGGCCTGCCTGGCCCCCCTGCAGAAGGGGGACCCAGTCACTTCCGCACCCTCCAAAGAACTGTCTCCCCCAAGAGATAAAAGCAAAGTGGAGAGTGGGGGATCAAAGGCTGTCCAGTTCCCGGAGGTCGCACAGCTGGGACAGGGTTGGCCGGGGCCGGCTTCCATGGGATCTGCTCAGACGGGTACCACGTTCCTGCCCCAGGGGAAGGTGAGGCAGAAACGGGCAAGCAAAGACAGGGAAAACCTCCGAGAGGAGGGGAGCCCAGCCAGAGTGAACCCCAGGATGAGTGGAGAACAGAGCTGTGTGGAAAGAGGGAGAGGGCGCAGGGCTGAGACCCTAAGAGCCCGTTTGAAGCCACTTCAGGGGGGTGGGGGCTTAGGGGACTGCCCAGGGCTGGCTTCATACCCCGGCATGGGTGCAGGACCCAGCTTTTGGGAAGTTCTATGGGAGCCCCTGGTTTGCGACAGGACACCTCCGGTGTGCCCTGCAAGGCCAGGATCTTTATTTATTTATTGGTTTGGGAGTCACACCTGGCTGTGCTGAGGGCTTACTCTCAAAGAGGTGCTCAGGGAATCCTATGGGATGCCGGAATGGAACCCGGGTCAGCAGCATACAAGGCAAGCGCCCTACCCCCTGTACTATGGCTCCGAACTTTCCAGACACTCCCCAGACTTGACCTTCTTGTCCCCGGGGTCAGTGTCCAGGGCGACCCCAACCTCTGTGAATTCGCTCCCATCACTGCTACATCCCCCACCCCTCGTCCGTTTTCTCACACCCTCCCCAGCTCCCAAGATTGGGGGAGGCCTCCAGATTCCCCCTTCCCGAAAGCCCCCCCCATCCTCCACTCTCTGTCAGACCCTCCCGCCTCTCCAGCCGGGGTCCCCTCGTGCCCATCCCAGGCCCGCCCGTCGCTGACTCGCACTCACCATTCTCGCAGCTGGCGTTGGGCGCCCGCAGCTCCATGGGGTCCCTCCGGGGCGCGCAGGGGCGTGCGCGCGCGCAGCAGCGCACGGGGCGGGTGGATGTCGCCCGGGCAGCTTGCTGCAGGTGGCCAGCAGCCGCCGCCGCTGTCGTCGGGGTCGGGGCCCCGGGTGAGGAGAAGGACGCGCCCCAGAGGGGGAGGGTCCCCGGGGAGGAGTCACGGGCGTCTTGGGCAACTCCGGGGGCCCGCGGACCCGGCGCCCGCGCTGCCCTCAGAGGGGCGCACGCCCTCCCGGGGCGCGGAGACTCTGGGCTCTGCCTGCTCCGAGTCACCACCCGCGCCCGGGGCACGGGGAGGAGCTCCCGGCGCCGCCCCCGCGACACCCGCTCGCGCCCTGATGCGCCCCGGGAGGGCGGGGAGGGGGACCGTCTGGCCCGGGCGGGCGGGCGGGGTGCGTGCGCATCATCCGTGGGACTTTAGGGAAGGGGGTACCTAAGCCTGTCGCCGCCTCCCCTAAGTTTGTATGAGGCTAAAAAGTCAACTTTCCAGTGCCCTAAACTTGCCCCAGAACCTCGTTATGAAAGGGATGGAGGTCACCTGCCTTCGTGCCCGGCCCCCACCTCACCTGTCCTCAGCCCACCTCCACCACGCTGTTCTCCAGGGATACACGCTCTCAGGGAGCAGCCCCCTGACTCCTGGGGGACTTGGCAAGGTCCCAGCTCTCCCTCCCTCCCCCGGGGGAACACCCAAGTATGACAGTGCTTCCTGCTGGCTGTCAGCAGGTGTGTGCGTTTATGCGGGTGCAAGGACACACTGTGTTGTGTGCATTCCGCGTGTGTGTGCACTCACTGTGTTATGTTTGAGCACAGGTCTGTATGCGTGTGCCTGCATTGTATGTGTGAGTGCATGTGTGCGTTGTGTATGAGCACATGTCTGCATGCATGTGTGTGCAGTGCGTGTCTGTGTGTGTGCACGTGCATTGTTTGTGTAGGTGCGAGTGCATGTCTGAGTGCACGTGGGTGCTTTGTGTATGTGTGAGCACATGGCTACGTGCCTGTTTGTGTATTGTATGATGTGTATGTGGTGTGAATGCATGTCTGCGTGCACGTGTGCACTGTCGGCGTGTTGCGTGCATGCATCTCTTGGTGTGCTGTGCGTCCCTGTGTATATGTGTGTGCACGTGCCCTGTGTGCGTGCATGGGCAGTCGTGCCGTGTGTCCCTGTGTGTGCCTATGTGCGTGTTTGTGCACAGACTGTGTGTGCATGCACGCGTAGTTATATGTGAATATGTGTGTGTGTGTGTGTGTGTGTGTGTGTGTGTGTGTATGTGGCTGCACGAGCATGGGGTCCCTGGCAGGAGGTGGGAAGGGAAGCCTTACTTGGGGGTGTGGCAGCCGCCTGGAGGTGAGGACCTTAGAGACGCACATGTTGCTGGGAACAACCTCAGTGGGAGGTTTGGTGTGAGAGTCTGGCATGTTTGAGTAAATGTGTCTGCCGCTGGCATGGACCTAGCCCACTCGGGCTCCAGTGCGGGCCCGCGGCCCCCTGAACCCTCACCCTTGTTCCCTCCTGGATAAGAGCCCCATGTTTGCTTCTTGCCTGGCCCTTTGAAGTGTCCAGAGCAGATGCTTGGGTCAGGCTGAGCCCAGATTGGAGAGTGTCCCCTGGGGTGCTTTCATGCAGTTGTCTGCCTGTGTTTGGGATTTGGAAGGCAATTACATTTCAGGGTACAGCCTCCCCTTCCCCTGACTTCGTGTTCCCTGGTGTCTGGAGAAAGGCCTCCCAGGGATTGCTCCACGGCTTGGAAGTCAGCCTCACATGGCCGGGGGAGAAGGCAGCTGGGATAGAGAAGGGACCACCAAGTAAAGGATGCTTGAAGGGCCCTCTCGGGATGGGAGATGCGTGCTGAAAGTAGACTGTGGACCAAACATGATGGCCACGTAATACCTGTATTACAAACCACAACACCCAAAAGGAGAGAGAGAGAGAGAGAGAGAGAGAGAGAGAGAGAGAGAGAGAGAGAGAGAAAGAGAGAAAGAAAGAGGGAGAGAGAGAGAGAGAGAGAGAGAGCTAAAGGGAATGCGCCTTCCACAGAGGCGGGGGCGGGGAGGGTGGAGATGGGGGGAGGGATACTGGGATCCCTGGTGGTGGAGAATGGGCACTGGTGGAGGGATGAGTACTTGATCACTGTATGACTGAAACCTAAGCGCAAAAGTTTGTAAGTCTGTAACTGTACCTCATGGTGATTTATTAAAAAATAAATAAATAAATAAATAAATAAGAAAAAAAAAGACCTCCAAAGGGGATGAGAGGCAGGGGGCTGAGGGGAACAGGGATCCACCGCAGGCCCCTAATCTGGCCCCCCATTCATTCTGGGGGGGCGGTGCTGCGTTTGGCGGTGGCCAGACACAAAAGGCCCGTTGAGGGTCGGCTCCTCCTTCGCTGACAAAAGCCTTTTCTCCTAGCACAATAGGCCTGTCAGGCAGGTAGCCGGGCCCAGCAGCGACTCCCCAGAGAAGAACGGGGCTCACTGTGGGCTGGGGGGCTGGGCCGGCCGGGCAGCTGGACACAGACCGGCTCTGTCCTTGGCTCCGGGCCGCTCCCGTCAGCCTCTTCTTTGGAAAACAAATTTACCCCCGGAGTCCTGAAGCTCTGACTGCGCTAAGCTCAGGTGCGCCCAGTTGGTCGGTTGGTCAATGACAATAAAACCATCCCCAAGGCACCCCGAGAACCCAGGACCGGTGGGCACCCACGTGTGCCTTTCTTAGCAAGCAATGCTCCCCGTGGACCAGAGCAGTTTCTGGGACTCATTCACGATGTCAGGCACCCCCCCCCACCCCCCGCAACAGGCTCTGTGCCCCAGAAACCAATAGCGCCCACACCTCCCCCTTTCTTTGTGCCAAGCCCAAATATCCTGGACAGCCGCCCAAATCGCCCCAGGGTTGAAGATCAGCCAGATCTCAAAGGGCCCCGGAAGAAAAAGGCAAACCAAAGCTGGAGCGATCGATCGCTGATAGCAGACAGTACAAGCAGGGAGGGCAGCTAGCCAGGGCTTCCTCCCCGGCAGCCTCTAGGGGAGTCTTGCCAGGTTGTAATTCCTGAACACAGAGCCAAGAGTAACCCCCGAGCATCGCCAGGTGTGAACCCTCCCTCTTGGAAAAAAAAAAAAAGGAAAACAAGAGAAACCAAGAACCTTTTTTTTTTCCTTTCTTTTTGGGTCACACCTGCGATGCAAAGGGGTTACTCCTGGCTCTGCGCTGAGGAATTACTCCTGGCGGTGCTCAGGGGACCATATGGGATGCTAGGAATCAAATCCAGGTTGGCTGCGTGCAAGGCAAACACCCTACCTGCTGTGCTATCGCTCCAGCCCCCTAAAAAACCATTTTTTTTAATGACTACGATCTGAGATGTTGCTATCAGCTAAACAAGCTGGGTGCAGGAAACTGAGGCAGCCAAACCGAATTTCCTCTCTTCTCTCTCCCCCCCCACCCCCCGCCACCCCCAGCTCGTTAGAGGGGCTGTGGGAGCATTCACGGCCAGGGTTAAACAGCACATGTGCAGCCCGTTTGGGGTGGGCACACTTCGTGATGAGAGGAGGTTGGTGCGGGGCGCTGGGGTCTCGGGGTGGCATGGCCAGCTCCCTCCTGGGAGGCTGCAGCGTGGAGGTGAGTCACGGCAGTGCCACGCATCGCGGGGCTGGCCGTGTGTGTTATCACCCGCTCACGCACCTTTTTTTGGTTTGTGTAACAAGCCTGGGGAGCAGGTTCATTATCATCTGCATCTCCTGACCAGGAAGTGCCAAAATTCCGATGCTGCCCAGATGCTCGCTCAGAGTCCAGGGCCCAGGGGCCCCGGCTGGACCTGGGGTGGGGGGTGGGGTCACTCACCTCCTGGAGGCCCACCCAGCCGGCACCCAGGGCAAGCAGACAGGGCTGCCCCTGGGCTGGTCCTCCAGGCAGGGTCAAAGCACGGAGTAGCTGCCGCCTCCGGGCTGACCCGGAATCCTGGGAATCCAGCCGCCGACAGAGTGGACACTGGTGGCACCCAGACTTGGCTGGGCCATGCGCACCAGACCAGCCATGGATCTGCCTCCTTCAATAACCATTAGTAACGTTATTATTATTTTTTTTTTTTTGCTTTTTGGGTCACACCCGGCAATGCACAGGGGTTCCTCCTGGCTCTGGACTCAGGAATTAGTCCTGGCGGTGCTCAGGGGACCCTATGGGATGCTGGGAATCGAACCCAGGTCAGCTGCATGCAAGGCAAACGCCCTACCCACTGTGCTATTGCTCCAGCCCCAGTAACATTATTATTATTTTTTTCATTCTGGTGTTTGTTTTATTTTTGCCCTTTGGAGTCACACCTGGCAATGCTCAGGGGTCACTCCTGGCCCTGTGCTCAAGAATGACTCCTGGTGGTGCTCAGGGGACCCTATCGGATGCTAGGAATCAAACCCAGGGTTGGCCATGTGCAGGACCAGTGTCCTCCCCTCTGTACTATGTATGCTCTGGCCCTAAATTCTGATGTTCGAAGGACATTGAATCACTGTGAATCACAAAGTTATTCATGATTGACTTTCAGTCTTACAACGTTCCAGCGCCCATCGCATCAGTGTCCCCCATTCCCCTCCCGACACAGCCCTGCTAGCCTTCTTTATGCCAGGCACTTTTTCCCTTTTATTTTTTCATTTTTTATTTTATGTTATGTTATTTATTTATTTATTTTTGCTTTTTGGATCACGGTTACTCCTGACTCTGCACTCAGCAAGTACTCTTGGCGATGCTCAGGGGACCCTATGGGATGCTGGGAATCAAACCCGGGTCGGCCGTGTGCCAGGCAAACGCCCTCTCCGATATGCAATTGCTCCAGCCCTGCTTTTTCCCTTTTAGGCCCTGGGATCTACAAAGCTGTTCCTGAAAGGGCACCCGCACGTCACTGACACTCCCGTCAGCCCCTAGTTCTCCAGAGTGACCAGTTCCCATTGCCATGGTCATAATGTCCCTTCCCCATCCTAACCCTTCTCCCCCCACCGTGGCAGGCTGCCCACCAAGGGCCAGTTCTCCTGCCCTTCCTTTCTACTGCCCAGTGACCAGGGGCTGGGAGACTGACCCCAGGGCTGGGAGAGGGTCAGCAGTCAGGGACACTGAGCGCTGCATGAATTGGAACCACCTGGCATCCTCTCCAAGCATTACCGAGTATGACCCTGGAGTCCCCCCCACCCCAGCAATGCCAGTGTAGAACTGGGGGGCCCTGCTGGTCCCCAGTACCTCAGACCCAAAAAGCTCCCACATTCTTGGGTTCTATTGAGCCACCCAGGTAGGCTTGAGGAACTCTGGGAATGGCCCCTGAGCACTGTTTGGGGAGCAACATGCTCTATATGTGCCCCCAGCCCGCTCTGCATGCCAGCCACTTAGGGAATTTCCTGTTTGTCCCACTTTACTCATGAGGAAG